GGGCCCCTTCCTTTGGATTCCCCGGTAGGTTTCTTCAGCCAGATTGAAGAGGGGGCCCAGGAGAGTGTCTGTGCAAATTTTGAAGAAAATCGTAGGGGCCGCCCCATTGGGCCCCAAATTTCAATTGGGTCCCGTGGGCCCCAGGTGGGCCCCATCGAAAAATGTTACTTGGGTTTTTTGTTTGGGAAATTACGCTCTTTCCAATGATGTGCATATTGCTGGATTTTGTCGATGTTATAGGCCTGAAATTGTTGAAAACGTTTATTTATGCCCCGAGGGCATACTCCCGGGCCCATATATTTGAAGCTGTTTTGTTCGGTTCAGGGGGGCGCTAGCCCCCTAAATTTGGTACCGTTGCATGTAAAATTTTGTCCTCTTTCGAATGACGTGCATTTTTAGCTGTTTTGACGGCTAGAAGTAGGGTTTTCAAAGTTCGTCGATTGTGCCCTGAGGGCATACTGTTTTTTTTATTTGTGGCCCCCCTGATGGATTCCCCGCATTTTGGCACTAGGATTTTCGATAGAGGACACTATTCTGCACCTCTCCACCAATATTCAGCGAAATCGTAGGGGCCGTCGATCCCTGCTGAATCCCTGCTGAACCCCTGCTGAATCCCTGCTAACTTCCGTTACATCATCACCCTTACACATTCACCACTCCCCATTCCACGCACATTGATTGTTTACCCCTTGGCTTACCCCGTGTTCGCAGTCTCCCGGACGACGAAGATTCTAAACGCCGTCCGACCAATCACGTTCAAGATCAGCGGGGCTTGGCCGCGGTTCTCGAACGTCATTGGCCAGATCACGCAGAATCTTAGTCGTCAGCAAAACTTTGAACACGGGGTTATATTTTTCGCTATGGTAACAAAAGCGCCAGAATTGACTACCAGAATTGGATCCGAAGGTCAAATGGGTCACGTGACTGTCAAGTTCAGATGGACAACACCTGCAAATAACAGGCATATTAAAGCTGGATTCTTCGTCTTGCACCAGGTGGCAGCACTTCTTTTCCAAAATCAGTGTTTATCTTTCCAAAATCTTCATTTCCTCGCTGAGGAGTGAAATCGGCCTCATCGTTGTCAAAAATAGCAGAATCGTTGTCATTTTTAGCACGTGTGACAAAAATAGCACGTGCTAAAAATGACAACGATTGACCAAACCTCCCCCGACTGACATGACAACGAAACGCCTGCTCACTCGTTAAATCAAGTACCAATAGGGTTGGGACCTATCTGCATGCTCTGTATGTTTTGGTAAAATAAAAAAGCTCAGAATTTTTAATGATTTAATTTAAAATCACTTTGTTAAAAAAATGCCTAGTAAGTTCAGAAATAAATTATTTGTGGCTGAAAACAACTTGCTTCTGATTGGTCGGGCTAATCATGACGTCACATGTAGGTATATAACTGTCTGTATATTTGGCGCAGTTGAGACATACATTTTCTATGTATTTTCCTATGGTAAATCGGAGTGATTGGTCGTGTTTTCAGTGTCTCTTTATTTTGCGCTGGTATTGCGTGGCTAAGAAGTTTTATCAAGAATGGCATATACTAAAATGTTCCTTTAATAATGGAGCTTCAATATCTGTGAGTTTTATTGGCAAGCGTAAACTGATTTCGCTGTTATTTTATCTGGAAATTACTCATTTTTTTTAGGTCAATATTCAAAATATTTTACGGGAACAAGTTGGCACTTTTCTTGATTTTTGCACTCAAATCGCGTGCGATTCAACTGTATTGGAACTTACAAAGAAGCTTGGTGATTAATTAACTGCGTTGTTATGGCACTGCTTGCAAAGCATGGATAATGAAACTCTGCCAAAGACTTAGCTACATAGCAATGCCTCAAGTAATACGCAGGAGGGACAGAATTCAGAGTCCGATCGAGAAGAATCGGTGCAAATGCTACGAAGACCAGGCAGCTCTGATACAATAGCTAGTCGTCTCACTACTCTCACTCCATTAGACCAGCTGATTCCTGACAGCACCGACTCGGATGCAAAGATGGAGCTCATCTTCCAAGCCAGAAACCAGTTCTTTGATGGAAGATTAGATGCTGCCTCTGTCTCTGCTTTGTTGGCCACTTTGGACGGGGCGGAGCTCCGCTCCTTGCGTGAGCGGTTATTCGCCTGTCTCCAGAAATAGTTCCTTCGTTTGCTGGCCGTTCCCTGATTAGGTGCAATACGGGGAGCTGTAATCAGGGAAGTAACTTTCCATATGAAAGGGGTGCAGGTGCACCCCCGTCCCCCATCCACTAGAAGTGCACCCCCATAGGCTAAGCGGCGCCCCACACGCCGCCCCACACGATTAGCTCTAGAGCAGATGGCGAGGGTGATTTCTCGGCTACATTCCATCTCGGCGTCGTGATGCTTGTGGGCTTGGAAAGCGTCCAGTCGTATGTAGGGTAGTGTAGGGGTAGGGTTGAGTTCAATAAGGTCCTTACATTTGAAAGGTTTGAACAACCCGCAATCAGCACAACATACCACAAGTTAAATAAAAAACTACCAAACTCCGCCCAACTAATATTAATAAACATTACAGCCAAACTAATGGCCTAAATAAAAATATATCTCAAATCCTAACAGTTATCGCGGGTGATGGCGCCATGAGTTGCTATTATCCAAAACAGGTGCAAATAAACATATTTGTATGTCCTATGTATGTTTGTTTTAAAAACGTTGCAGCGGCGCTGGGAACTTCGGTCTTAGATCTGGGTATGTTTGGCATCTGCAACTCTTCATATACACATTAACCCTATTTCGGACGGGGAGACCTTTCAGGATTTTCTTGTACAATTGCCAAACGCCGCGAGACATTCAGCTCATATTTGGTGACTTTTCCTAAATGCTCATTGCGCACATCTCAGCAAAAGAAAAAAAATACCGGGTCAGGTCAGGTCAGGTAACCAGAGCGGGTTTGTTGACCCCACCTCAGAAAAGTTTGCAAACACGTCAGAGCTTGAGTTTTTCACGAAGTTATTTCCTCTCATCAAGTCTTCAAAACAGTACCTGCAGTATGTGTCGTTTGTATATCTCAGAATTTGTTATCTGTGACCTGAGGTTAGGTCAGAGTCGTGACCTTTACATTGCAAGCCTATGGAAAAGTATTGAAATGCGACCTGCACCTCGAGTAAACGAGTCAAAACCACCAAATTCTTTAAGAATTATGACAAATTATCTTATCTGTAATGATCCAGGTGCCATTTACTGACAGGGACACCGGAGAGGGTTATCTGAGCCGAGATCATGTGAGGTGATATCTACCATACATCAATGCTCACAATACTTACAATATTGACAATGCTTTTGCTTACAACACTTACAATACTTACGATGAGACCAGCAAGCACTCTGCCGTTACAGTTCTAACTTCTGTTTCGAAAAACGACGTTACACACATTCGCTGCCAGCATAACATGTATTGTTTGACAGTAACAAAATACAATTGACATCTGAACCCCAAACGGACCGCCATCCACTCAAATTTTATAACCCTGACCGGTCAGGGGGCGAATGGAGGTCATTTCCTGGGCATTACACTCAGCCCTTGCACAAAATATCTCACCTCACAGTGATCATTACAACAATAGCACCGACTTGATAGTGGATTTCAAAGTACTTGCATCAGCTCTTCCTGCTATTGCAGACGATCATCTCCTCACAGGGTAATGTTGTTCGGGACATGAACGAAGATCGTTTTCGGAATTTCATAAGTGCTACTGCAACAGCCTGGCACAAAACAGGACTTGTACGCTCTTCTCTGCACTTTGCCCTTCAGTATATCACAAAAGAATTGTTTAGAATCCATCTTACGCTTCTTTCACAGTCTCCCTTGCCAGTTGCCACCGTAGGGCGTAGATAGATTGCTGTTGCTGGTAAGTTAAGGCACGGTAGATAGAAATTACCTCGGTTCTCAACGCCTTAAGTTATTTTCATAAAAAAGAACAAATAAATGATCAATAAGATGACAGGAATGTAAACATTTTAATCGTAAAGTAGTCCAAATATTGGAATGAGCTTTGCTTTTCAGCATCCTCCGATTCATCATCTTTATCATTTGAAAATTCGAGGTACATAAAATGTTTATCACGCGCTCATGTTAAGTGGGAATATAGTACACGGCAGACACATCAATTTTTGACACTGAACATTTCATCCGTAAATGTTTTAGCATAATTTAAAGTTAAAAACAGCGCGAATGGCAGAGTGAAGCAAACAACATCTTTCACCCATTGATATAACATGTAATCTGTGGTGCGCCAGATGCGCCATTATTTGTCAACCGCAGAAGGTGACATGTGACGTAACAGCATCAAGAGCATCTTTTTTCAAGAACTTTTCAAAACAAGTTTCCTATCTTTCTTCCCCCATTTCTCTCAGCTTATTGATTTTATGAGGCAATGGTATGCACCATAAATTCTGTGAAAATAGTTTGATCATTTTCATGCATTCTTAAAAAATCGAGTTCCCAACCCCATTCTATGTTGCGACATGTTTTTATAATCTGTATTCAATGAGGAATATGAGCATATGCATGAAAAGTTCGAAAAATAATCTAAAGGTATGATTTTTGAATGAAATACGAAAAATGTTAATATGCCACTTGTCTCGGAGATTTGACTCGGCAAATCATAGCCTTACAAAGTTTGATACGTGGTGGTACGTGTGGGAACACATCAAAATATTTTCCCATAAATTCTGCATTGGAATCAACTCTTATCTTTTGCCCAATTTTGCCCCAAAAGCTACTATGAGACAGCAAAGCAGAAGATGTCGCGCGGCTCTCAGCGCTCTGCCGCGCTGCCCGGCGCCGCGGCGATCAGCTGTCGCCTCAGTAGTTACGTGTGGAAACACATATCAAAATATTCTCCCATAAATTCTGCATTGAAATCAACTCTTATCTTTTGCCCAATTTTGTCCAAGCAGCTAATACGAGATACCAAAGCAGAAGATGTCGCGCGGCTCTCAGCGCTCCGCCGCGCTGCCCGGCGCCGCGGCGGTCAGCTGACTGTGGCGTACCGCCGCAGGAGTAAAGTCGCGCTAGGAGGGGCAAAGTCCCAACAGTGCACCGGTCCGCCATCACCCCCAGCGCGCCGCCGTCCCGCCGCCACTCACCGGTCATGTAGGCGATGTTCTCCTGGGTGACCTCGAACTTGTCGCGGCCGTGCGGCTTGGCCACGATGCCCAGCAGCATGGTGAGCACCCAGGCCGTGCGAGATACCGTCGTCGAGTCCGGGTGACGGAAACCCTTCATCAGGTGACCCACCAGCGCAAAGTGGAAGTTGGCTGAACGGAAAGCGAGCGGTCAGTAATGAGTAAACAAGCAGCAGTAGGACAAACCTTGGAACAAACAACGCAGATACGGGTGCAGCTGTAAAAGACAAATCGGAAAGTCGCACCGCCTCAAATGCACCGAACTCGAATTATTATGATACTTTGTGTATTTGAGCTTTTCTGGCAATCATAACCCCAAGTGTCATCAAACATCGCCCTATACATTGTTTGTGGATCCAGTCCTGGTCCTTCCCCGACTACACGAGGCCCAATTACAGTCAGACAGGACGTGTGCCCACCTTTGAAGCTGAGGCCGACGGACTGGTCGAGCAGTTTGAAATACCACTCGAGCGGCTCGCGGGCAGACATCATTACCTCCTCCAGGCTCTGCGGGCAGATAAAAACGTCAATAGCTTGCGCAAACAAACCGAACAATCAGTAAATGAATGTTCAAAATGTGCTGGTACGGTGGAACAGCGCACAGTGCAGGGAAAACGAAAAGAGTTTGTCAGAAGTGGGATTCGAACCCACGCCTGGAGAACCAGACTGCGACCTGAACGCAGCGCCTTAGACCGCTCGGCCATCCTGACACTGGACGAACGCGGCTGAAACACGCGACAGGACCATGTCCTTCACTTCATCCTTCGCTTTTAGTAGTCCACGTTTATAAATAATGTGAAGTTCCAGCTGGAAAAAGGCTGATAGGATTATAGAAATATGCATATTGCATACAAACATGGGTGCCGTATTATACAGGCCTGGTAGCTCCACAGCCCAACAAATGCAGCCCCGCTCTTCAATGACGGCCCGGGCCGGCAGACCGCGATTGTGTTCATACCCCAGGTCGTATGTACGGTTCTCCAGTAAAAGTCTTGTTGGTTTTGCTTTTTCGGACATATCTGGTCCTATATAATGTTCAAATGCATAAGTATCAACCCGAATTATGTGTATGCACATTTACCACGAGACTGTGAAATTGCATCGTTATATGCCAAATACTTTCCGAGATATTCACCAAAAACCTCATTTTCTGCCGTTTGGGGTATTCTGGCCGCAATCTTCCTGGGGTCGCCTATGCCATCAGTAGAGCCATCTAACGAGAGGAACGCGGAAACACAGAATCATGAATGAATCGAGTGCGTAGTAAACGGTGTATGAAAGGGAGACTCGGCAGAGGCTATCCGGGTGGCCGGCGCGCGGCGCGCCCTCAGGCATCGGCCGACCCTTCGGACCGCGTGGGGTCAGAGGTCGCGCTCGGGAAGTCTCGGCTCTGGGTTTTAGCGCTGTGCAGTCAGGAAGGGAGCATAGGATAGCGCCAGCCCGACTGACTAGTATCTCGGCTGATTCGTGTGGGGTGAAGGGAGCACAGAACGGGATGATGGCTAGTGGTGGATGATGGGATGGTGGTTAGGTTAGTGCGTACTGCGTAGAACGTAGCTGAACATGCATTTTTTTTCATCGCAAACAACATGCAGCATAATGTGCAGGATTATGCCAGAACTCATACAAAAAGGAAATAACATTTCGGCCGAGGGAGTGGATGAGTGCCGTGACAAAGCATGACGATGCTGCCAAAATCGGGATGCTTTTTTGCCCCCATTTGTTTTTTACCCCTAACATGCAGCGCTTGATCCGAACTTAGAGGTCCCCGACTGACCTTAGACCTTAAAATCGCACCCGGCCGGTGCGCCACCTTTTCTTCAGGGGCGCTCTTCTTGGTTGTATCTGTTCTTACCAATAACTAAAGCAAATCGAATGTGTAATAAAAAAGGCATACCTCAAACACAGTTTTATTCACATCCCCTCGTGTGCATGCTTGTTTTGAACTATACCTTCTCGCATCATAATATATTACTTCAGTGCTTAATCCTCAACGGAATTTTAGGTTTTCTGCATATACCCCGGCCGAGGGGGGGGGGGGGGAGCGATTACGACCCCTCTCCGTCTTTTTGCCCGTAATTGAGCTAGCGCCTTGCGGATGAAACTGAGCGGGTGCGTCGTATGAGATGCAGCAACTGGTGCCCGAGTTGAATGTCTCAGGTCAACCGATTAACTCTGAGGTCAGTATAAGTGCTGGCCAAGTCGCGGGATCGGTTTTTGGTAAACTTTACCATAAGTGGTTACAGAGCCACGACAATGGCACCATCGAGTTTTGCATGCTCAAGCGCGTCGGATAGTATACGCTTTGTTTTTGTTGAGGTCAATTTAAGGTGTTCACCTCAGGTCATGTCAGGGCAGAGCCACTCAGGCCACGAGGCTGGTTCAAGGAGGTCATATCGCTTCTTCGATTCGGTAGGTCCTCAAAGTCCACTGATGGCTTCACGACTCGCTGGCTCAATTTGATCGAGACTTTTTGGTTAAAACTCCTGTGACCTTAGTGACGTCATAAATGAAGTCGCCTAACTTTAAGAATGGAAAAGTGAATGCTGGGGCTTGCTAAGATTGTATAAAATCGCGAATTAATGCGCTTGCGACAGCTTTAGATGGCTCCCGGCGCCAAAAAAACAGCTTTCATATTTCCCAATTGACTAATAATCATGAGGTTGCCGGTTGCGTGACCGACCTGACTTCAGGTGACTCTTAAGAAAAATACGAGATAGCTACATACAAGTTGTGAGGCCTCTGGGAGATAGTATTAGATCATATAAGCTTCATTCCCCGTTGAAAAGTCCCCTGGCACGAAGGGTGCTGCGACGTCGCGACATTTTGGGACCTTACAGAGGTTCACTTTTGATGTCATTGGTCAACAGCCTGACCTTAACCTTCGCACTTGTAGGAGGGTGTCGAACAGACCTCTTACCCTCAGTTTTTCGCAAATAACTCGCGCAAAAAGCGGCTGATTGCGACGAAACTTTCAGTACCCTCGGTTAATCAATATTACGCCTACCCTATAATTTCTATGACCCTGGCTCAAAAGACCTTTGACTTGTGACCTGTTTTCCGAGACCATGTTTGGCCGGAATCGCGGTTTTGGCGTATTTCGAGTAGAGCGCGTTTTATTGTCTTTTTGTGGCTTTAAGCGATCAAACATGTGAAAGGATGTTGATCCCATGGATTCTAGTGGGTGTCAAGGTCACGTGAAGGTCAGTCAGGTCACTGACCTTTGATGACCTTTGTTCACTCTTTCGAGTTCTACATACATGTTTCTGGGGTAGATTTTGGAGTTGATTTCGCATTTAGAAACCGTTTGAGCATTTAAGAAGTAGTTTTGGTTCCCTCGTAACATGTGACCTGACCTGACCTGACCTGACCTGGCCTAAATGCACGAAAACATCATCTGTGATCAAAACTAACTTGAAATTCGTGATCAGCAGCCCGCAAAACCCCATAACAGCTTCACTTTACGAAGCTCTAACAGGTCCCGATTCCCCGACTTTTGAGTTGTTGAACTGTCAACTTTGACAACTTAGTCAACTTAGACTTTTGACCTGTCAACCAATGACCTAGGATATTAAAAATGGGTATCATCGGCCTCCTCTCGTCACGGGCAACACGCACTTTTTCCGCGAAGCTCTAGCTCGATCAGGGGTTGAACGGCAAAGGGGTCCAACGGACCCTCCTCCACCCTTTACGATAGACGTTGGCAAAACACCAATATGGGCGAGGGTGAAAATACAGCTGCTGTCATAAAAATTCAGCTTGAATCAAAGGCTTCAGCTCAAATCAAAGGCTTGCCAAATTTCAGCTCTCGCAGCTATCAACAAAAATAAATATGTGGAGGCGGCACCCGCCACCCCCCCCCCCCCCCCCTCTCGGCCACTGCCAGCGAGGTTTTAAGCGTATCATAGACGTTACAAAGCATCATATCAAGATGACACACCCCAGCAGCCATATGCACTGAACAAAAGCTTATTACGCACGCTAGTCTATCGGCACCAATAGCACATGACCTGCTGTCCAAGGACCAACATGGCTTCCGCCCGAAGCGATCTTGTGATACGCAACTGCTTGACTCTATAGACTCATGGAGCCGCCTGTTGGAGGACAAGACGGAGGTCGAAGTGATTTACCTTGACTTCCGAAAGGCGTTCGACTCCGTCCCACACAAGAGACTGATAGGCAAGCTGCGCTGCTATGGTATTGGTGACCGAGTGTTGTCTTGGATTGAATCATTCCTGGAAGACAGAATGCAGCAAGTGTCCCTATATGGAAACCTGTCAGATTTGGTCCCTGTGCGCAGTGGTGTGCCCCAAGGCTCAGTGTTGGGCCCATTGCTCTTCTTGCTCTATGTCAATGACTTGCCAGATGCTGTCACTTCAAATGTGCGAATGTTCGCAGATGACACAAAGCTGTTCTCAGGCATCTCTTCTGAACATGATGTGCGGACATTGCAGGCAGACCTGAACGCCCTCGTGGAATGGTCTAGAACTTGGCAGCTGCCATTTAACGAGAATAAGTGCAAAGTGCTTCATGTTGGTGCAGCCAAGGACCACCACTCATTTCAAATGGGGTCGGACAGACTGACAAACACGTCAGTCGAGAGAGACCTGGGTGTGCAGGTCGACTCAATCTTGAAGTTTCGACAGCAAGCGTCTACGGCGGTCTTCAAAGCGTCTCAAGTTCTTGCGGTCATCCGCCGGTCCTTCGCCTTTTTAGATGAATTTACCCTGCCTCTTCTGTTCAAATCTCTCGTGCGGCCTCACCTGGAGTTCAGCAGTCTTGTTTGGGGTCCGTTCAATAGAGCTGATCAGAAGGCAGTCGAAAGGGTTCAAAGAAGAGCCACCCGGTTAGTGGTGAGCATCCGCCACCTTCCATATCCTGAAAGGCTGAAGAGACTGAAGCTCCCGTCACTGTACTATCGGCGTAGACGCATGGATATGATTCACGCATACAAGATGCTGCACGGCCACGTTGATACTGATCCTTCAGAGCTTCTGGCAACGAATCCTGAAAGGCGAACTCGGGGTCACACACTTAAACTACGGAAGCCTCGTGCAACCTGCCGTGCCAGACTGAATTCATTTTCTGTGCGGTGTATTAACGATTGGAACGGGCTTCCAGCAGAAATTGTACATTCGCCCTCAGTCAACGTCTTTAAGAACAGGCTGGATGCACACTGGGAGTCGATCTGGTACTCCACTCCTGTAACAGACTGAGTACTAAGTGAAGTTATGGAAATCGGCGAGAACGGGCCCTACAGGACATCGTGCCTCTTGCCCCGATAACACGAAGATGAAGATGAAGATGAAGACATGGTCGAGACTGTCGTCAGCCACGGACGCGCACTCGACCAACCCTCTGAGCCCGTTGACTGCGGGTGACCTTGACATGTCAAGCCTGATCGGCGGCCGGCCGCTGTCGTGCGGTCGTTACACGCGGAGGGGAGGGAGACACAAAGCTCTACGTTATAGCCGACCTCTGACCTTTCCTTGCGCCCTGGTCACTGACCCCGCTCCATGTCGCTGGGCGGTGGCATGGCGGTGGAAACCGGTTCTAGCCTCTACACATGCCACCATTCTAACCCTCCCCTCCCCACGCTACTACGCGGCGTGGAGTACGCTCGTGCGTAACTGGGCGGAGCAAGGGGTCACGCGATACAGGGGCGGAACTGGTTGCCCTCCCGCCCGCCGAGCGACCAACGACTAATACCCTGGAGAACCGTACCGTCCGTGTCCACTGTCCAGGTTGTGCATTGTCGACTAGAGTCCTGGTCGATGTTGCCGTGCGCGTCCAGCCAGGGTGTGCCGTGTGTAGGCACATACATATTGCGTAGGTACTGTAGGTGTATGCCGTGTTGGCTAGGGTAGCTACTCACGTCCTGGGCCTCGTTTCGTAAAGCGAGTCCGTAACTTACGGCGGTTTTTAGTCTTGTATTGCAAGTGCATGTGAAGCGATGACGATGGCTTGAATCGTTGAATTCATTTATCTTGCATGCAAGAACAGAAGGGAGAAGGGCAAATAAATTTATCGCTTCACATGCGCTTGCAATACAAGCCCAAAAACTGGCGTAAGTTACGGACTCGCTTTATGAAACGAGGCCCAGCTGGTCGAAAGTGCCGTGCGCGTCCAAGGTGCGTGTCCACTGCCGTGTGTACTGTGCCGTGACGGCCGGGGTACTTATTACTCACGTCCTGGTCGAAGGTGCCGTGCGTGTCCAGTGTGTGCCGTGTGTAATGTGTGTGTACTGTGTAGGCAATGTGTACTGTGCAGTGTTGGCTAGGGTAGGTACTCACGTCCTGGTCGAAAGTGCCGTACGTGTCCAGGCTGTGCCACTGCCGTGTGTACTGTGCCGTGGTGGCTGGGGTGCTCATTACTCACGTCCTGGTCGAAGGTACCGTGCGTGTCCAGTGTGTGCAGGTTCTGCTCCAGCAGCGCCAGTCCGCAGGCGTACAGCGTCTTCTCGTCCAGCTGAAGCACCGATATGGCCACCCAGAAGAGCGCCTGGTGGATCGGCGACTCCTGTACCAAACAGGGACGGAGGGGTCAGCAAGAGGTCAGAGATAGCCACCCAGAAGAGCGCCTGATGGATCGGCGACTCCTGTGTAACACAGGGACAGACACAGTTCGTCGGAAGGTCATTTCATGCACAAAAGAAACGAAATATACCATTCGAAAGCGGACGGTCAGCTGAATCCAAAAATGTAGTTTTATCAAAATCGTTCGAATGGCCTCTTTCAAAAATTGCGTTTTTGTAAAAACGTAATCTCACAGCTCAGTCTCGCGATGGACCAAAGTCAGCCACAGAGAAGCCTGTAATGAGTCTTATCGACTCGCAGACCCGGCGCTCGGCCCGCCCGCCCGACAACGGAAGGAACGTTCGGCTCTCGTTCTACTAAACGAGTGTCATATTTGTTAGTTTAACGGTCCACATCGCTATCAAAGTTATTCAAGATGCCTGTGTAGCAAAATCATTGTTCTGCTAGATTTACAACATGCTTTAACTTACATTTTGTTATGAATCCAGCTGCGCTTGATGCCCGCGCAGGGAAAGTTAGCGGGGTTTCACTGTCAGAGACTACCAGCGACAGCTGTTTGGTCGCGCGACCGGTCAAAGGTTACCCTGCCCACCGGGCGCTACCCCCACTCCAGTCCAGCTGAGGTCGGTACAACCTCTGACAGTTGTTCTTACAAAAACGCATTAAAAAAAGACCATCGAACGATTTTGATAAAAACTACATTTTTGGAATCAGCTCACCGTCATCTTTCGAATGGTATATTTCGTTTCTTTTGTGCCTGAAATGACCTTCCGACGAACCGTGCAGAGAGGTCAGCAAGAGGTCAGAGAGAGGTCAGAGGGACACAGGGGTTGGAGGAAGGGCGGTCAGAGGGGTCAGCAAGAGAGGGGTCAGAGAGGCCACGCAGAACAGTGCTCGGTAGATCGACGACTCCTGTATGTACAGGACGGAGACAGAGGGATCCGGCAGATTAAGGAGGCTGGACAAAGGACAGGGTGGAATAAAATAGGGACAACTAAATAAACGCGTACAATAAGTACATAATTACGTTGTTATCCTGCTGGATGCGACCCGACACGCCCAGCTGTCCGGGGAGGAGACCCGACTCGTACCACTGACCGGCCGGAGCTGCACCCGCGATTTACGATTATGTATGGGACCGTGGGAGGCGTGAGGTCGAAGGTCACTGACCCGTCAGACATACGACGATTGCCTCAGGAGACGGGGGGGGCTGGGATCAGGGGAAGGGGTCTGGGGAGGCGTCACTGACCGGCCGGAGCTGCGGCTGCACCCGCGTCAGACACATGATGATGGCCTCGATGAGGGTCATGTCGGTGAACCGCTCCAGTGCCTTGACCAGGATGCGCAGCAGCTGTTTGATGTCGTAGTCGGTGATGGACCGGCCTGCCGGACAGAACAGAGCAATGAAACGGCCAATGCTAGTATGGAGACAAACGGGCTAATGCTGAACAGATGTCGAGCCAATAATAGGCAAACGAGCCACAATTACTACGGTTTGCCGGATAAGCTACTACTGCGGCGGCCGGCGATATCAACGCCGAGCCCGGGTCATTAACCCGCGAGTTGCTGGGGGGGGGGGGGGCGTTAAACGCCCCCACTTTTTTCGCCGGGCCATAGCATAAAAACGGCGCGCCGCAGGCGCGCCAAATTTTGTGTACCTGTAGGGAATTGATTGAAGTTTATTGTGACAAAGTTTAAAAAAAAAAAATTGGTCGGAAAATTTTTGAGATATCGAGGTTTTAGTGACGTCATGATTTCTGAGTTTTCGACCAAAAACGGCATATGTTCAAAAAATCATATAAAATCACAGAACAGACATACAGACATGCCGTAAACGCCATTAGACTGCCAATACCATGATCAATCAAATGGCTATCTTCGATTATTGATTATCGTTCTGCATTTTCCAAAATCTTGAACTGAATCTTGGCAATTTTTCGTGACTACTTCACGACCATGATACATGAATTTCTTAAATTGAACTTTTTGAGCCAAACACGTACACATATGATAAAATGAATGTCACCATCGTGTTCTACGCCCCAAATTACCTATAAAACATGTGTCACAGGCTGCGAATATCAGTTTTGATTTTCGGGGATATGTGCCTACCCGGTTGACCTGACCTTGACCCTGACCTATGCTTGACTGACCCCTATATGAAGCTGACACTCTTGTAAGCCTTATAAATTGGATTGTGCACCGTTTTGACAGAGTTTATGGCGAGAGGCGCCCATTGCGAAGTCCTGAAGTCCATGCTACTGAAAGCCCGATTTCAGGTGTTTGACCTGACCTTGACCCGACCTGTGACCTCAAAATTCAACTTTGAAGTACTCATCTGAAGCGTCTCGTCGCGCTCTTTCGTTTGCCGCCTCGTGCGTTTCGCTGCGCCTATTGGTTCTCGAGTTATCGGCTGGGGGCGTTTAACGCCCCCCCCCCCCCCAGCAAACGGTGGGTGGCGAAATACCCCAGCAACTGCCGGGTTAATGCGGCTGCAGATTACGGAATGTGCGCCGCACCCGCCCCCATTAGACCAAACCCCGTCTAGCCCAACGCCTCCCTCCCCATGTCTGCAGACCCCTCTGTCTGCTAAGCACAGACACACAGAATCCCATCTCCCGCCACTATCCCTCTCCCATCCTGCAGTCCGCTCCGCTCAGGCACCCAGCGGAGGCACTCACTGATGCAGCCGAAGACGATGAGGGCGCGCGGCTGCAGCGCCGGGTTGTAGCGGAACGCGAAGCTCTTGGCCAGGTCGTTCCACACGTCCAGCCAGTCGCAGTCGGGGATGTCCCTCATGCAGGCCTCCATGATCTCCAGCAGGGCGTCCGTCACCGTCTCCAGCGAGCTGAGCGGCAGCGTCTCCCGGTCGGCGGCCGACAGCGTCGAACGGTCCGGCACCCTGGCAACGCCGCACAAAAACCTCAGGTCAGCTAATGATCAACTCGTCCGGCGTTCACACTGAATCGGCTGTACATGCGAACCGATAAGTTTTCACTGGCATCTTGTGTGTTACAAATCAAATCATATAAACAAATGTAACATGATAAAAGGCAAACAAAAGAGCCGAAAAATAATTTATGGGCATAGAGTTCACCCACCCAGCACGAGCTGGTTGGGTGAACAAGAAATGAATGCAAAGGACTAACGAGCATTTAAAAGATAAGGACAAACGAATCAATGAAATAAATGAAAGAACGTTAAGACAGGTGAACTATGAATGAATGAATGAATGAATGAATGAATCATATGGAACCAAGCAACGGACAAACCCTAGCTCCTCGCCTAGTGGGTGACTGATGACTAGATCACCCGAGGCCCATCTTTCCACAATCAGCGTACCGGAGCCAGCGTTCGCCGGGGTTTTTCAGGTTGATTCGGAACGCGGTGACGGCCGCCGACTTGGCGTTGTGCAGCTTGATGCCGAACAGCTGGTAGAACTTGGACAGAGAGAACTCGTCCAGGCTGAGACGGAGCACGCGCTGGGTGTCCTCTGCGGGTTAAAAGGGGCGGGGACGGGGCGTCAGAGAGCGAGCGGGAGATGGGTGGGGTTCATAGAGCGAGCGAGAGGGGAAGGACGGGGCTCAGTGTTCTCTGGAACAGGTTAAGACAGAGTGTTCTATGGGATAGGACGGGGTCAGGGACGAGTGTTATCTAGGGAAAGCCGAAAGGAGAAATAGAGCGGGGTAACAAATACCACGGAGGCGTACGATATGAGCCGATAGACATCGACATCACGCTGGGTGGTGTTATGCGAGCAGATTCATTAGGACAAAACCAGTATAAAAATTTGCCCCAAACATTAATTGCACGTGAAACATGTCATAGTTTAAATGAACTGCATCCTTAGCACTGACCATGTTCTAAAAGACATTCCCTGTGGAATTTGCGCCATAACAGTGCTCTGGATATCTTCACAGGACGAAACATCTATTCGCATCTTTGTCCGATCATCCCACGAGCCCATCATGTCCTCCGAAGCCACAGCGTCCGCCCCGGCTACCCACCTGAGAAGACGGGCTGTGTGCAGGTACCCACCTGAGAAGACGGGCTGGTGACCTAATGATCATCCACCTGAGAAGACGAGCTGTGTGCAGGTACCCACCTGAGAAGACGGGCTGTGTGACCACTGACCACCCACCTGAGAAGACGGGCTGTGTGCAGGTACCCACCTGAGAAGACGGGCTGTGTGTGATCACCCACCTGAGAAGACGGGCTGTGTGCAGGTACCAAGACTGGCTGAGTGCAGGTGCCCACCTGAGAAGACGGGCTGAGTGCAGGTACCCACCTGAGAAGACGGGCTGTGTGTGATCACCCACCTGAGAAGACGGGCTGTGTGCAGGTACCAAGACTGGCTGAGTGCAGGTACCCACCTGAGAAGACGGGCTGTGTGCCGGTACTCAGACGGACTGTGTGCAGGTACCCACCTGAGAAGACGGGCTGAGTGCCGGTACTCAGACGGACTGTGTGCAGGTACCCACCTGAGAAGACGGGCTGTGTGCCGGTACTCAGACGGACTGTGTGCAGGTACCCACCTGAGAAGACGGGCTGTGTGCAGGTACCCACCTGAGAAGACGGGCTGTGTGCAGGTACCCACCTGAGAAGACGGACTGTGTGCAGGTACCCACCTGAGAAGACAGACTGTGTGCAGGGGTACCCACCTGAGAAGACGGGCTGTGTGCAGGTGCACAGCGAGTGGATGATGTTGATGACCATGCCGTGGGTGCTGGCGCGCAGGCTCAGCGGGCCCATGCAGACGAGCAGCGTGGCCAGGTGCAGCAGGTACGGCAGATGGTGCGACACGTCCAGCCGGTTGTTGAACGACAACATGAGCAGGTAGCGCGCCAGGATGGCGATCTCGGCCCAGTTCATGTGGTCCTCGAGCCGCGCCGTCGGCGAGGTGCAGGTCTTCATCACCACCTGCGGGGCACACACGCCGGGCCGAGGGGCTATTTACAGCACAAAGGGACCGTACGGGCGGTTATCGTCCCTTCGTCAATAGGACGACGCAGCACATACATACCCGAGTAACGCAAACCAGAAACATACAGTGAGAAGAAACAGTTCTAGCTGGACATACAGCACGACTGTAAAAGAATTCAGAACAAACTGCTGGTCTTGTGATATTATTATTTTTTGTCGACAATTGACATTATGCTTTGTAGTACGTTTCCCGAAACCCCTTTTATCAGGTATATCAGTTGGTTGCAAGTTGCCCATCCGCATCCGTTACGACTGCGCCCCAGTGTCGACTGTTATCCGGTGCGTCGCGCATACGTTCCGCCGTCAACATAGTTATTTCCCCGGCCGTACCGTGCAGAGTCGGCCGATGACCTTTTTGGCCACCAGCTGGACGTTGGGCGAGACGAGCGCCACGGTGGTGTCGGCCATGATTTCGGCCTGTACCGAGCCCAGGCCGCCGGTCACTGAGCGCTGGATGAACGCGTCCAGCACCATGTCAATCAGGTCAGACACCTGGGGGCACAGGGCGGGTCAGGTCAGGGACGGCAGCGCTGGATGAACGCGTCCAGCACCATGTCAATCAGGTCAGACACCTAGGGAAGGTCGGCCGGGTCAGGTCAGAGGGGCAGATCGGGGGTTTTTGGGCGCCCGGACTATAACAGTGGTCATCGGCGTCAGAGGGGCAGATCAGGGGTGGTAGGAGGCAGGTCAGACACCTGGGGCAGCGTGGACGGTGGGTCAGGGACACTGCGGGGAGTATCTCAGGAACGGCGGGGCCGGGGTCAGGGACGAATCAGGTCAGACAAGTCATGATAAACATTCAATAACACAAGGAGCAAGTTCCGGGCCCTCCGCGACGGCACCCCCCAGGGCGCGGTGACATCCCCGGCGCTCTTCAACATCTTTATTAACGACATCACCGACGACTTCCCACCGGGCGTGTCGGCATCGCTGTACGCCGACGACCTAGCCATCTGGTGCAGCGACCGTGACGTCTCTGCCGCCGAGACCAAGGTGCAGCGTGCTCTGGACAACCTGGGGGAGTGGGCCCGACGCTGGAAAATGGTGGTCAGCCTGGAGAAGACTACCTCCACTATCTTCACCCTCGACCCAGCTGAGGCACGGCGAGAAGCGGCACTCCATTTCCAGGGCCACCCAGTGAAGTTCTCCCCCACCACGACGTTCCTGGGCATCACCCTCGACAGGAGCCTCACCTTCATGGGACATGTGAAGACGATCAAGGCCAAGATGCTCCAAAGGAACAACGTCCTCCGGGCTATCAGCGGCACGACGTAGGGCTGCTCACCGTATGATCTGCGCAGTACCTACCTCGCCTTCTCCCGTGCCTGCGCCGACTACGCCGCCGGTGCTTGGATGCCCGGCCTCAGCGAGTCTGGCCTGAGGGAGCTGGAAACGGTGCAGAGACAGGCGTGCAGGACAATCACCGGCTGTGTCAGATCCACACCAGTGGACGCCCTGGCCAGAGAGGCGGATCTCCTGCCTTTCTCGGCGCGGCGGAGGCAGTTGGCGGCTGTGGCTATGGAGCGCCACTCCCGGGACCTACCAGACGACCCTGTGCAGCGGACCCTCCTCCCTGAGAACTGGCCCCGGCAACGTCTGCGCTATGACAGAGGATGGGCACGGACGGGCCAAGAGCTATCCAAAGACGCCGGCCTAGACGACTTCCCACGTGAACCACTCCTGGTGGTTGCCAACACCCCTCCCTGGGAGTCACCACCACCACAAACGATTTTCTTCCATACTGGACTCGTGAGGCCGGTGCCACACAACGCCCCCGCCGAACAGCGACGGACTGCCGCCGAGGAGACACCAGCCGGACTGCCGAATCCGAACGTCCAGGCTTTCACGGACGGCTCGGCCACAGCCGGCACAGAACGAGGCGGAGCAGGGGCAGTCGTCTATAGGAGCGGCAGGGAAGTGAAGAGGATCCGAGCGCCAGCGGGGCGCTTCACGTCGAGCTACACAGCGGAGCTCCTCGCTCTACGTGAGACACTCAAATACATCGAGTTCATCCTCACCGATCAAGACCCTGCACTCTGTATCCAGCTGTGCACCGACTCCCTATCATCCCTCATGCGTCTGAGGGAGGGCCCGGCCAGCCAGACTGAACGGGTCGCTGATCAAGTCTGGCTATCCCTCCGGCGACAAGGACGACGCCACCGCGTGGACCTTCAGTGGGTTCCCGGTCACGCGGGAGTCGCCGGCAACGAGATCGCCGATGCCGTGGCCAGGGAGGCCGCTGAGCTGCCGCAGGACGGGATACCCATCACCTTCGCGGCGGCCAAGAGCCTGCTGAAGCGCCACGTAAGCAGAGAGTGGATGGAGAGCACGCGCCACTCCCGACCTGCGCCCGCGACCCGCCCGCACCTAAGCCACGACTACCACGATGTCGTCGGCCCGGGCAGGGTCAGGCTGGTAGACAGGCTCGGCCTGTCCAGGAGAGAGGGCACCGCTCTGGTGCGCCTCCGGACCGGCCACTCTCCTGCCCTGCAAGCGTACCGTCACTTCATCGGGGCGGAGGAGGACGATGGATGCCCGACCTGCGACGGCGGAGTCAGGGAGGACGCGGAACACTTCCTGACGTCGTGCCCCGCGACGGCCCGCGTCCGTCACGACGTTTTTGGGAGAGAGGACCCAACGCTGCGGGAGGTCTTTGCTGACCCGTGCCGGGTCATCGAGTTCCTGCGGCGTCTGGGCCGACTATAGAGCGCCCACGGCGCTAGACACTCTGGCGGGGTGCTGGTTTTCCCAGCCCTACCCATCGTCTGGGCCCGCCGGAACCCGCCTGGGGGCCTGCTGCCCTCCCTGCGCGGACGTCGCAAGTGTCGCCCCCGAGGGGGGCTGGGGCCCTCCCGGGCCCCCCATGTGGGCCCACCGGGCCCGACGGCCGGAACGTCAACAACAACAACAACAACGGGGTCAGCAGGGATACGCACAAACGGATGACTGCCCCACTAACCCCCCCCCCCCCGCTCAGTCTCCACGTCCTGAAAAGCCTTCGGGACACTAGACACTATTAGTAAATGCCCCACTAGCCAGCCACCTCCTGATCACGGGGACAGTGGATGCACAGCCGCCGCACGCACCTGTCCAATGCTGCCCCAGATCTTGGCCTGGATCGAGGGGTACATCTCCTCCTCCTCGATGGTCAGCGTGATCAGACGGTCCAGGATGAGCGCCACCTTCTGTCGCTTCGTGTCCTCCAGCTGCCGCTTGCTGCCGTCCTCGGACGTCTTGCAGAACCTGGCCGGGGGAGAACGTGCGCTCAGTCAGACACGGGTGGGACGGCCGACGGCGGGCGACTGCACTGGTGTGCTAGACCGCGTGACCGGGTGCAACAGATGTAGGCTTTTGTGGGGTCTGTTGTTTGTGAGATCACTCAGATCACGAATCGATGTGTGACATAACGATACGCAAGATAAGGCGGCATCGTAAGACAAAACGTCACACATATGAATGACATCGCTGCAGCTGCTGATAAAAAGACCAGCGTAGGCACAATTCCCACAGGCGAAGCTCGCTAAGAAGCTCCCTGCAATGAACTAACTATTCTAACTATTCTAACTACTATTCACTCTGACTAACTTAACTATTCTAACTAATCATCCCGATTTGTTTCATCGTCGGAGAAAAACAAGACTCTCCCACCATAAGGATGAGGGTTCACTTGATAAGACTGGGACATCCGTTGTTCGAGGAGTGGGGAGGTTGATCACTTGCTCAGGGTGGACTCACTATGTGGTACTCACTTGGTGAGGTTGGGCAGCCAGGGCGTCATGTACTCGAGGCACAGGTGTTTGTGCTCGATGCTCGACTGCCGGAAGCCCTGGATACACTCGTTGAGGAACTCTAGCGTCAGGTGGGGCTCGTTCTGGGCCAGTTTCTCACTCACAGACTTGATGAAGATGGTGTTGTTGGACGGGATACAAAGCCCTGGCGGCAAAGAAGGTATTCAGTTACATTACATTACATGGTACGCTGAAACACCAACATGAAAATGTTGATTTCCCACTGAATACAGACTAGAATACTGACATCATCATGTGGTCGTTTGACGATAAAAAATAAACAAATAATACGAGTCATTTTGAGCAAGCACAGAGCATAAGCGACAAAATATCAAAACAAAAAACACACTTAGATCAGTTAACAGCAGAGACGGAGAACAATAAGTGATCATCCACCTACAAAAAAAAACCTCCATAGATCTATTTTCATCCCGGCCAGTTCGCGTTTCCCGCTGTCTGCCCGCTAACCCCATCCCTTACCGGACGTCTCGAGCAGCTGTCCCTCGATGCGCAGGTCAAAGTGCTGTGTGAGCGCGCACAGCAGGTTGTAGGCGGCCGTGCGCAGGTTGGGGTCCTGAGAGCCCAGGTTTAACAGCGCCATGTTGAGAAGGGTGCCGGGCACGTCCTTGGGCCGGATCTTCTGGTGGACGGGCGCAGAGACCTGCCGGGACGCCGCACACCAGTCACACACAGTGTACGGACAGGACAGGCTGTGTATGGTCACAGTGTATGGACAAGACGGATCTCCTGGTGGACGGGCGTATAGACCAACCCACAGACTCTCAAAAACATTGTCGCAATTAGGATAGCTATAACAGCTTAACTCGTCCCGTCCCTCCCCTCCCGTTCCCCCACTGACCGGCTGGCTGAGCTCGTAGCGTTTGCGGATGTGCAGGATGGCCGAGACGATGCTGTCGCAGTCGATGTGGATGAAGCTGAGCGGCCCGGACTCGTTGGCGATGGTCAGGGTGAACTGGTTGTCGTCCACCAGACATACCTCCTCGATCTCAGAGGCGTTGTACACGTCGTTCAGCAGCACGGAGTGCGACAGCACCTTGTTCTTCTCGGTGGAGGTGACCTGGATGGCGTTCGGCCCCACCTACCGCCGGGACAGACACACCGCAAGGTGAGGTGGTGCTCTGCAGTAGGGTGTCAACGGTCCCGACTCATAATTCTAATAAAATGCGCGAAACTAAAAGAAACACAAAGAATTATACTGCAAGAAATAAGAGTGAAAAACACAAAATGCACCTCCCAAAGCTTTGGCACAATACTAAATGACTGAATAATTTGCTGTGATATGTTCTAATGACTAACGATAAACCAGAACAGGCACCGGGCCAGGTCCTGCCCATACCTTGATGGCGACCTTGGTGTCTTTGTGCGACAGCTTGAGCGCGTTGTTGAAGACCTTGAGGTCGTCCTCGAGAGCCAGCGTGGTGGCCGGCAGCTTCTGCTGCTCGGGCTCGATGAAGTCGTTCAGCCGGCCCGGCGTGTCCAGAAACACAATCTTCTTGTTATTCTGGAAAACAGAGCGGCGGTATGATTAAACAGCAAACAACGGACAATAACAAAAGCTACATGCGTACAGACATGTAGAAAGACCAGGACACTCTAAAGATCAGTAATTAACGGATCACGAAGCAGAGCTGAGGCCCGTTAGAGGAGAGCAGAACGTCCGAGTTGTAGCGACGGTACCTTGAGCGGCGCCAGGATGCGGTCGTGGTACTTGGTGTACTCGCGCACCCACGAGTTGGCGTTGTAGATGTAGGCCCAGTGGATGTTCTCGTAAGCCACCTGCGGCAGCACCACGAACCACTTCTGCAGAAACTCGGTCCTGAAACGAGCCGGCGCAGGGGTCAGTGGCTGAGGCGTCCACTCAGACTCAGAGCGCCAAAATGTGTGTGCTGCTCGAATTACACTCGGAACACTATATATTAATTACATTCGTTTTCAGGTTATTACAAACATCTTTGTAATCCATCTTACTCGCACTCAGTTCATGTCACCCAATGCCACCGTGACCGGCTAAACCATGTCGATGAGTATGCAGAAGTGAAGGCGTAAATTATCAGAGCAGATAATGTGACGAAAATGTATCGGGTGTGTCTTCTGACCTGAAGCGGTTTTCGCTGCAGATGTGTGTGAAGTCAACCACCAGCTCGAACGGTTTGTGGTAGTAGGGCTTCAGCGTCAGGATCACGTGGTAGATGAGCAGGTCACCGTTCGTCTCTCCGATCCTGGCGACGACACAGCGAAACATCAGTGCCGGAACCGTTAGCAGCTCAGGTCGTGGGGAGAGCTAAGACACGGCTGCACTCCATGAGCCTCGCCAAACAATAATGTAGTATAACGATATGTATAATGATACAAAATAATGATGAAGAAACAAGAAAGTGATTGGTTCGCATATTAACACGCGCACCGACGGGGGGCGGATATCCGCCCCCCCCCCCCCCCCCTGAGGTTTTTCGCGAATAGCGGGAAAACCGCGGCGCGTAGCGCCGCGAAATTTGGTTCCCATCAATCTTACACATGGTGTGCAAGTTTGAACCTCCTAACTTTTTAGGTCAGGTCACCAGGTCACTTTGAATGACCCAACCTCAAGTCACTTTTTTGCAACTTTGTCACCGTGCCAGAGCTACAGTAGATGTCGGAGGCCTTTAGAAGTCGCAGGATGTTATTAGGTCATTAGTAGCTTCAATTTGTATATCTCGGAATTTTGATATCGGTGACCTAAGGTCAGGTCAATTTCTCGACCTCCCCATTATAAGTCAATGGGGGAAAAATCAACTCCCTGTTTTTACCACTAAAACGGGTCGGAATGGCCCCATATACCACACATGACTTCATATACGGTCAACCTTCACTACCTTGAGGTCTGTTTTGCTGTTGGGCAGCTGTAAGGTCATGTGACGTCATCAAAGGTCACCAAAGGTTTTTTGCCAATAACTCCGTGCAGGAACAAGATACAGCCGCGCGGATAGTCTCATTGTGTTCAGCTCGTCAAGACGCATCGAATGATATACATGATGACCTCGAGGTCACGTGACCTGAGGTCAACCTTTGACCTTGTCCTTTCGAGGTCAACATATATATCATTCGATGCGGATTGACGGGAGGATCACGATGATGCCCTTAGTTTGTTCCTATATCGGCTAATTCGAAAGTTATTAGAGAAAACTCTCCATATCTAGCGCTGCCATTTTGACTTTTTTTTTTACCCCTGTGACGTCATCTTCGACCTGACCTGAAAATGACCTTAGTAAAAATTGTAGACCTTGTCCGTGCGTATCCGATCCCGTTTACCGCTTGTCGCTATCTTGCTTCGTTCTCGAGATCTCAGGGGGGGGGGGCGTCATCCCCCCTCCCCCCCCCGTCGGTACTAAGTTGGCGCAGACCCCCGTGTCGGTGCGCGTGTTAAAGACATCAGGAAAACGATATAAAATCATTTCTCAACAGCTCACAGCAAAATCTATAAATAAACTCAATAGTGATCAGAATCCACACCTTTAACCCGCGCACCGACGGGGGTCTGCGCCAACTTAGTACCGACGGGGGGGGGCGGATGACCGCCCCCCCCCCTGAGATCTCGAGAACGAAGCAAGATAGCGACAAGCGGTAAACGGCATCGGATACGCACGGTCAAGATCTAAAATTTTTACTAAGGTCATTTTCAGGTCAGGTCAAAGATGACGTCACAGGGGTCGAAAAAGTCAAAATGGCGGCGCTAAATATGGAGAGTTTTTCTCGAATAACTTTCGAATTAGTCAAGATAGGAACAAACTAAGGGCATCATCGTGATCCTCTCGTCAATCCGCATCGAATGATATATATGTTGACCTCGAAAGGTCAAGGTCAAAGGTTGACCTCAGGTCACGTGACCTCGAGGTCATCATGTATATCATTCGATGCGTCTTGACGAGCTGAACACAATGAGACCATCCACGCGTCTGTATCTTGTTCCTGTACGGAGTTATTGGCCAAAAACCTTTGGTGACCTTTGATGACGTCACATGACCTCACAGCTGCCCAACAGCAAAACAGACCTCAAGGTAGTGAAGGTTGATCGTATATGAAGTCATGTATGGTATATGGGGCCATTCCGACCCGTTTTAGTGGTAAAAACAGGGAGTTGATTTTTCCCCCATTGACTTATAATGGGGAGGTCGCGAAATTGACCTGACCTTAGGTCACCGATATCAAAATTCCGAGATATACAAATTGTAGCTACTAATGACCTAATAACATCCTGCAACTTTCAAAGGCCTCCGACATCTACTGTAGCTCTGGCACGGTGACAAAGTTGCAAAAAAGTGACTTGAGGTTGGGTCATTCAAAGTGACCTGGTGACCTGACCTTGAAAGGTAGGAGGTTCAAACTTGCACACCATGTGTAAAATTGATAAGGGAATAGTCATACCAAATTTCGCGGCGCTACGCGCCGCGGTTTTCCCGCTATTCAAGAAAAACCTCAGGGGGGGGCGGATATCCGCCCCCCCCCCGTCGGTGCGCGGGTTAAACGAAATGGCTTCAGAATGTTGTTGCACAAACATTTACTTTCAAACATCGATAGCCACGTGACTGCTCACTTGTATCGGCGCGCTATGTAGTAGAAGACCGGGTTTCCGGCCTTGGATGTGCCCGCCTGGTAGAAGATGCTCAGGTTCTTGATGCACTTGAACTCGTCCTTTTCGTGCATGTTGTGTTTGGACATGACCTCCTCGAACATTGTGCTCGTCATGTCCATGCTGTTCCACCTGTACACGTCGCCGGAATTTAGTCAGAAAACGGCATCAATGGTATTGCATGAAAAATCGCTGGTAAAAAACATGATTGTTCCAAAAACCAGAAAAATACAAACATATATGAAACAAGCCTTCGGCAACAAAAATGCAAAAAAAAAAAAATATGCAATGATGATAATAAATGTCTCGGCGGCCGATATCTGACTCCGGTCTGTTTCCACTCACTGAGAGTCGAGCGGTTTGTGCTCGGGCGGCCCCAGGTAGGCCAGCAGCGTGGCCATCTTGTCGAACGGCCGGCGGCCCACCGCCTTGTGGTCGCGGCTGCTAGACAGGTACTCGCCTGGAGCAAAGCAGCGAGGGTCAAAGGGTGCGGGGATACTAAAGGTCTCCTGCCCACTGGGTGGACCGATAACTGTCATGGTACGTTCTCGATCTCAGTCTACTGCAGACTTCCGCAGAATTATCGGGTTGCAGCTGTCTGCGGCAGCTGTGCGGTCTGCTCGCCATTAACTGCACGACACATGGGGCTGAATTTGGAACAACTATGCAAAACACGCGCCACGTCAGTTGATCAGACAGACATGTGAATACCATACGGATATCACCCGATATTACCCGACTAGTTACATAACCGTTCATCGAACAAGTGTCTGCCGACTCCAGGCGCGACGACACCGGTAGAGACAGACCGCCGGGCGGCCGCTGGACGTACCGATTTTCTCCTGGTGGTTCCACAGCAGGCGGTGCAGCGCCAGTACGTTTGCGTCGCTGATGAACGAAATGGAGTGGCTCGCCTGGTCCACGGTCTCACAGTCTGACGCGATCTGAATGAAAAACCTGGGGGGCGCAACAGAGGGATTCATGTAGGGGCAGCGAAACACTTACGCGGTAGGAAAAAAGCAAAAAAAAAACAGCCACAACCAGGCACAAAAAATATGCATAGTAATTGAACGACCTTCAGCATCTTCAAAAACAGATTTTCAAACATCACACAAACCAACCTGTATTTATGGCTTGCGTGCAGATCCAACCTTGCAAACCAAGCAACTGCAAAAATGGCTATATGATTTCAAGCATCACCGGATTAGTGCCTTACACGGTACCCTCCAGTCCGATTTCCGGCCTCACCGTCTACCGGCCTCGAAGTTGGAGCGTAGGAAGTCGTTGAAGGCCAGCATGTGCTGCTCCTTGCTGAACTCGACGTGGTTGGCGATGCTCTGCAGGATTTTCGACATGAGCATGAGTCCGCGCTTGATCTGTGGTCCCGGCTGCCGGTCCACGATGCCCATCTCGTACGGAGCCACTGCAAACGGCGGCGGGAGGCGTGAGCGAAACACCAAACAGACGAAACAAGAAACAGGCGAGAGATGCAGTGAGCAAAACGATATAGGGTGACAGGTCGGTACCCACTCACTGACTGGCGTATATAAGGAAACGAATCCGTAGCACCGCTATTTACTAGTGTGTCTATGCCCTCCGTTGAAATATACGCGCCGCTCCTGTCACAGAGGGAAAGCCTTATCCGACCCAGTACTCACCCAGCAAGACTGCTTTCCCTCGTAAAATAAAATAAAATAAATCGACACACAGCCCCCGATCGTACCCCCGTCCCTGACAGCCTTGCCGTACCGATGGCCGGGTTGATGAAGCGCAGGAAGATGACGGTGCCGACGGCGCCGATGTTGTTCTGCGGGAACTGCGGGAACCGCTTGCTCAGCACCTGGTACAGGCAGTGGCACATAATGCGCAGCTGGGACGGGAACCTGGCGACAGACGAGTCATGAGTGTGGTGTCAGCACGGCAGGGGAGGGGGTGGCGTCAGAACAGCAGACGGTTGGAGTAATCATCAGCTTCAGATTCTCGACTCAGCAAATAACTAGCATCTTGCACATTCTTTTGGACGCAACAGACAAGACACGCTCCCAGAGGTAACTCGCCCTCTTTCCCGACGGACGCACCTCTCCGCGGACGAGATGATGCCGTTGAAGACCTTCTGCGTCAGCTCCATCAGATTGCTGCGGTTCTCCTCGACTGTCTCTGCCGACTCGAGGCGCGACGGGTCCACCTCGTACCGCTTGTTGGGCTCCGTCATCAGCTCTGCGAGCGGAGATCGACGTCAGGGGACCGGCCGCCGGGTCAGTCGGGCAGGGGTTACAAACAAAGGGAGGCTGGGAACAGTGGATTTGGTTATCTGGTTTTGAGGACGGTTAGCTGCATGAAATTGGTGTAAGATTTGGAATATTATGAAAGCGCAGACCATTACATCAGTGGTGCCAGAGTTCATGTCACTCCCGTTATTAACCCGGCGGCCGCTGGGCCTCCGCGCCACCCGCCGGCCGCTGGGGGGGGGGGGGCATATAGTTGCCCCCCCTTTACTTCCGCGGCGATATCGTCGCAACGCGAAGAGATAGAGAAGCGAAACTTTGCACACATCTTCCTGAATACCTAGCCAAGGTTGTGTCCAAATTTGGTGTCGATCCCATTTGAAATGACGTCACAGTGACGTCATAAGTCAAATTATAGATTTGCGACTCTCAGTTTCCTCACGATACATCAGGTATATGGGACCGAATATAAAGGGCCGATTATTGGTTAGGAACTAGATGGAAGAGTACTCAGATGTTTTAGGATGACAGCAGGTGCTGTCTAGTTCATTTACAGTTGAGTTTCATGCTCAGCGTCATCAGAAACGGTCCATATCGGAAAACGACAAAATTTTATGACGTCACTGTGACGTCATCTTAGATGCTACAACCACAAAACTTTCTTCAAACATTGCCTAGGTATTCATTTGAAGCTATGCCAAGTTTCACGTTCGTAGCTCATCAGGTTTCGGAGATATTCCACAAAACGTAAAGGGGGGGCAACTTTATGCCCCCCCCCCCCCCAGCGGCTCGTGGGTTAAAGAATCGGCCTTTTCCTCTACACAGCCCCTCTCAGCTGCCCTCTCCCCTCCCGCTCGCCGCACTCTCTCCCCGGACCAGCCGCTGACCTTTGATGAGCGGCTCAAGCATGTTGTGCAGATAGCTGGTGCCGTATATTTTGAAGCAGAAGGCCATGATCTTTGATCCAAGCGAGTTGCCGCGCAGCAGCGTCTGCATGCAGTCGGTGATCTCGACCTCCTTGTAGAACATGTTCCACAGCAGTTGGGGTAGCAGGTGTTTGGCGTCGAACAGCGTGACAAACACGCGCGCCAGCTCGTCCTGTCGGGAGGGGAGAGGGGTGGAACAGGTCAGCACACTCAGCCGTAGAGACACGCTAGCTCGTCATGTTAGGAGGAAAAGAGGGATGGAACTGGTCAGCAGACTCAGCCGTAGAGACCAGGTGACATCAGTGGGTGGTAGGTACGCTTAGAAGTAAGGAGACAAACCCCTTTGAAATAATTCCTTTCATCCATCATATTCTATCTCTCATCTTTTGGACACAATCAAGTGTCACTGCTCGATGCTTCCTTACCATCTCCCACTTTGGTCATAACATCACGCCCTTTCCTCCATTTTCTCCCTCTACTTCACCATCTGGTGAGGTGACCCCTCCCTCCCCTCACTAACCATCTGGTTGGTGCTGGTAGCTACAGCTGATCATCCATCTCCCTCCCCCTCCCCTCCTAGTTGGCGGTGACCCTTCCCTCCCTCCGTCTCACCATTTGATTGGTGGTGACGACGCTGGCCAGCGCCATGGCGATGGGCAGCTCTCCCTTGTCACCAATCATCGTCACCAGCTGCACCAGCTGCTCGAACCTGCGCACCAAACAGACACAGACATATTCAGGTCACCTATGGGTGTCCACCACAACCTACACCCACCTGCGCTACAATCACTGTGACTGTGAGCGTCCATTAGAACATTAAAGCCTGCGCACCAATCGCAGGACGTATAAACATCAGCAGCCGCAGGTGTGTCCACCAGTGTCTGGTTAAAGATCAGAGCACAGATCTTCATTTCTGGCCCTCCTAGAAGTGACCATGGGTAGCTCAACGTTTATCGACATCATAGCAAGCTTTAAGTGAGTAATAAACATGAAAATATATCATTCAATGGAAAATGATTGCAGCACATTGAAATGTGACTGACGTCACATTTGGCCACACGGTATCCACCCGGGTACATGAATGATAGTTCTTCGTTGTTAGGTACCTGTCTGCCAGCACGGTCTCTGCCAGCATGTTGAACTCGGTGCCCTGCTGCAGGATCTTGGTCAGCACCTCGATGACTGCGGCGCGCGTCTGCAGGTCCTTACGGTACCCCAGCGCTGTCGGATACATACGCAATGCGCGTCAAATCACCACACTCCTGTAAACGGTCTGATGGCATGAACGCACGGTATGGGTCAAACTGTGCACGGGAGCACAGGAGCACACTGTAACCACGATCGATCTGAATGTATAGCTCCCACACCATGTTACTTAAATGCATCGATATAGATGGCTCAGAGCTCAGTAAGTGTCCCCGCCCAGGATCTCAGTATCTCAGTTTATAAGTGACTCAGTGTAGGCGTATCTGTCCCAACCTCCCGACTCACGCAGCGAGTAGCTGAGTCCCGAGTCGATGTTGGCGCCGAGCAGGTTGGACATGGCCTGGATGGTGGCGTTGCGCAGCGCTGTCGACTCCTGCGTCTGGTAGCCGTGCTCCGAGACCTCCTTCTCGCCCTGTGACTCCGTGTCGTTCAGCAGGTTCATGAACAGCGTCAGGTACCTGACGGGGACCGGGGCACAGTCAGACACTGGACAGCATCAGGTACCTGTCGGAGACCAGGGTACACCGTCAGACACTGGACAGCATCGTCAGGTACCTGGCGGCACCTAGGGTAGGCATCGTCAGACACTAAACAGCATCATCAGGCACCTGACGGCGCGCAGACTACACCCCCATACGCCGAACGGGATAGGAGTGGGAACTGTATGAAGCCGAATGTGAGTGGAGAGTCCAGACTTATTCTACGTAATCCACAGCGAAGCATCCATGACGTACGATGTTTCATTTCCCACTGCGCCGATGCACCAGTCGCCTGAAGCTAAATCGCGCATGAGTAGCGGCCCAGCGGGTACAGCAGAGCGTGCTTACTTTGAGAAGAGGTCCTATTTGGCCTCCATGAGGTATAACGGACGGGCTGCTTACTTGGAAAAGAGGCCCGACTCGGTCACCATGAGATATAGCGGGGGACCGGGGAGGTGCTTATTTTGAACAGAGGGGCGTTTACTTTGAAAAGAGGTCCTATTTGGCCTCCAAGAGGTGTAACAGAGGGGGTACGTACTTTGAGAAGAGGTCCGACTTGGCCTCCACCTGGTAATGCCGGGGGGTGCTTACTTTGAGAAGAGGTCCGACTTGGCCTCCATGAGGTCTCCGCGGTCAGACTCCTCGGCCTGGAGCGGCAGACCGCGGAGCAGCGCGGCCACCGCTTCCATGCAGGCCTGGTCCAGCATCCTGCGCAGCACGAAACAGGGCAAGTAAAATAAAACACAGTCTAAAGCAGCATCCTGCCGGCGGCACACAGCCCACCGCACAGAGAACATAACACACTGCACAACATGCGTCACCGTACACGTCATCACAGCACACACAGTGTACGATACAGCTGGCAGCTGTCAGTTACCACTACGACTGACCCCGCGGGTAACTATCATCTCAACAGAACAGCACCTACCTGGTGAGGCTGGCGACTAGCCAGGCAGCAGCCGCGCCTACCACTCACGTCACTGACCCACGTGACGCCACTGACCTGGTGAGGCTGGTGACGTCGCCGGAGCCGGGCGGCGCCAGCTGGTGACTGTTGCCCATCACCCAGTCGGTCAGGTACTCGACCATCTTGTTGCGGAACTTCATCTCCTGGCGGAAGGCCAGGTCGTCGCGGTGTTGCATCATCCGCTCCACCAGCTGGCACAGCTTGGTCTTTATCTGGATCGTGTGCACTGTGAGGTCCAGGTACCGCACGTACCTGCGGGTAAACGGGGCAGACGCGGGGCGGTCAGGGGCAGGCGCGGCTGTGTGGGACAGACGCAGAGTCAGAGGCAGGCGTGGGGCGGTCAGGTCCGGGGCAGGCACGGCTGGTGTGGGGGAGAGGCGGTCAGGGGCAGACGCGGGACGGTCAGGGGAGCCACGGCTGGTTATAGGCGGGCACGGGTCGGTCAGGGGCAGACACGGCTGGTGTGGGGCAGACAGAGGGGTTGTCAAGGTCAGACACGGCGGCTGCCGACTGACCTGACGATGCACAGCATCATGGCCTCGATGGAGCTGACGCCCAGGTGCTCGGCCGGCTGCTCCATCTCGTTCTCCAGCACGTTCTTCATGATGAAGATGATGTGCTCGATGAACTGCGTGTTGTTGTCGTTCATTATCACCTGACGTGGATGGCAGAAACGGTTACAGATTCCCTCGTCGGAGCGTCGTCCGGGCACGAAAATATCAACTTGACTTGAGGAGTTAATGATTGTCATCAAAGCTGGATAATACATATTTACACTTTACAGGTACTACTGATTCTCTCATCCTGCCCACGGTTTACCTGGCCTTGAGGATCAAAGAACTTCTCCACCATGGCCTTGATCTGGTCGAAGAGAATGGGATAGAGCAGTGGCGACATCTCACATCCGACCAAGTCTTTGACGTTCTTCTGAATGGTGGTGCCGAACTTTTCATGGGAACACACCAGAAGGTGCAGAAGGTTCCCAATAAATCTGGAAACAAACGCAGTTAGAACTCACACTCAGTACAGAAGTGATATTGGCAAAACAAAATAATCGCTCTGTTACCTATCAAACATATAGATCCACCCTGTTTGCGACACATAAATCAGCCATCTTTATTCCCCTATTTTTCCCTTCTTCGCTGTCTCACATCCGACCAATGTAATCGGATGTCGTCAAAACTCGTTACCAAGGACAACTGAAGGAGGCCCCGCTGCCCATTACTCACTGTGTGACCGGGCAGTACTGAACGTCCTGACTGGAGCCCGACAGTGCGTTGTACTTTTTGGCCGCGTCGCTGAGGTTGCAGTTGGCCGGCGAGCAGCTGGCCGTGGGTCGGCGCAGGCACACCCCGCCCAGCGAGCACAGGAACCCCGTCATGTTGAACCACTCGTTAATCTGGTCCTGTGAGACGGTACAAGCCACGTCAGTGGTGTGACACGATAGGGACGAGGGATGGCGGCGTGACGCCGGGGAAGATAGGCAGCGATAGACCTCCGGCAGCTGCGGCCGCTCGTACCCCAGTCATCGAGCCGGCACCCACCCCCTCTTCGTCCCTCCGTCCGCGGCTCACCTCCAGTTCGTGTTCGGAGGTCTGGTGCGAGGCGCGCCGCTTGCCGGCGCTCCTGTACAGCGTCTCCGACAACTGCGGGTCGTCCGGCTTGCCCTTGTTGAGCACGTGCAGCCGGGTGACGTGGTTCCACTTGTTGTACGTGTCCTCCCAGGCGTTGAGGCCGCCCGGTGTGCAGTACTCGATGCGTCTCAGCAGCGCCATGATCCGCTTCTGCAGGGCGGCACGGCCTGTAGAGCAACGGTCATAGGCTCACTGCTCGTATGGGCGACCGCATAAACGGTAACTATGGATTTTGCCAAAAAGGTGAGAAAAGAACGGTCCCAAATAAACTAGTATATGCAAATCATGCAGCGAAAAGAGCAATCATAATAGTTTAGCTGAACGGTATCTAAAATCTGTTGGAAGAAATGCGATAAAGAACACACGGCATTCAGGGGTTGCCACCAAACTAGGCAGGCTGTTGCTTGTGTAGGACGATCCTGTAAAGACATCCAAACATCGTACACTGCCCGTCCCGACAATACCAAACACCCGTCCCAGCTGCCACAGAGACATACAGACCCGACAGCGACGGGTACCGACCAACACGGGAAGCATGCGGAGACGGGCCGGCGGCACCGACACACTGCCGCCCGGGGCGACAGTGACACGACACCGACCGAACACCAACATGGAGCTCCCGGCGCCGCCAGCTGCCGAGGGGAACCGGGCACAACAGTCAGGACGAGGCGCGCATGGCTGCCCTAGCTACAGGGCCGCGGACAGACACACAGACAGACAGACAAACGTGCCATCTGCCGGCTACACGCTGAACAGAACAGAACAGGTGGACAGACGCCAGCGGACGGATCCGAGCAGCGGTCCATCCGAGCAGCCAGCCCAGCAGCCTCCAGTCAGAGAAACTGAGCCACCCGTTAGATCTCCATCGGACGTCATTCAAATGTCCACCGATTCGTGGATCAGGGGCTATGATATACGTGAGCTTTTGTTGGACAAGATATCCACTTACGTATGCTCCGAAAGAAATACAAAGTTTTCATCAGCCTGAGCAAGAAAACTAACCAATATTATGCCAGTGGGCTTCAAGGCCATCTTCCAACTACTGCCAACTACGTGTCAAATGCAAAAAGTTTGAGATTTGGACCATGCACAGTCACACACTGCGCACTAAACGTGTCTTCAATGAACAGCATCTGCTTACAATTATTTTCTTGTCATCGTCTGCAAAAAGAAAATAAATGCTCCTCACAATATCCCTACGAAATTTATAACTACTCAATGAACGCGGCCAGATTGTTCAAGCAAACACGACAGAGAGCGCCGAAAGACTAGCGTCAAGACCGACTGCTACTCAAGAGCTACCCATATGCCACAAAAGACAACAACAAAATGAGAGCCGTAACAATAACAGCCACCGCTGGCAGGGACAGGCGGGGCAAACATGGATCAGACAGAGGAAAACTTGGATCCGACGGGGGAAAACTTGGACCAGACAGAGGAAAACTGGATAAGAGAAAGGAAACTTACACCAGGCACAGGAGACTAAGAAAAATTGGACGAGACTGGGGAAGCTTGGATCAGACAGAGGAGACCTAAAATAGACGTGAAGGGATTCAGTGCAGACTGTAGGAGAGTCCACGGGAGGGCATTATACGCTATACAGCGGAGGGGACACTGGAAAAGCGGGCCGCTGCAGGCAGGGGGCGGGCGGCGGGGCGGGACGGCGGGGGACGGCGGCAGACAGCGGACCATGCGGCGGGCGCGGCCCCGGCCCCAGCGGCCGCATAGACAGCGGAGACGGAGACGGAGACAGCGGCGGCGGCGGCGCTACGTTACCGGTGAGTGTGGGCTGCACCAGCGAGCGAGCGTCCTTCGTGGCTGGACGAGACGCACGGTCAGCGGTCAGTCACGGGACACGGGCACAGTACAGACAGTGGGGCCGCCAGTCTGCTGACCGCCACTACCGGCCCTCCGCGGCAGACCACACACCACACAGCGGCCAGCGGCGACCGCAGGCCCGCGCTCAGTATTGGGCAGGTGCACTGTATGTGGACGTACGTACATCACGCACAAACCCATCAGACATCAAATGACTATAGCGGATCCTGGAATCGCGTGGGAACAAAATAAACAACCAATATTTCATAGCTAGCTGTAGTTTTATTTCGGTCTCCGGAATCTACGCTCCCGATACTGGCCACAGGTCAGTGCAAAAAAAAAACATTAACGCACAGTGTGCCAGTCCGTGCGTTAGCTGGTGGTTAGTGGCCCGGTATGTGGGTGTACCGGCGGCCGCTGCGCCCCCAGACCGACCGTCCCACCTGCCGCGGACGGCGCGCCCCCTGACTGTCCGTCCCCCTGCCTCGGACCAACGCCCCCAGACTGTCCGTCCCCCTGCGGCGGCCGCTGCGCCCCCAGACTGTCCGCCCCCCTGCCGCGGCCGCTGCGCCCCCAGACCGACCGTCCCCTGCCGCGGACCACCCGGGCGGCACCTACCGGTGGTGAGCAGCTGAGAAGCGGCTGCCAGGTCCTGGTAGACGGCGTAGTTGGGCAGCAGCTGCGTCACCGTCACCTCGTCCGACACAGACCTGCCGTCCGGGCAGAGGTCAGAACATATACCCGACATAGACACACCCGACACAGACCTGCAGTCCGGGCAGAGGTCAGAATACATACCCGACACAGACCTGCAGGCCGGGCAGAGGTCAGAATACATACCCGACATGTACCCGCTGACTGATACACCCAACACAGACCTGCCGTCCGGGCAGAGGTCAGAATATATACCCGACATAGAACACCCGTCACCCAACACAGACCTGCAGTCCGGGCAAAGGTCAGAATATGTACCCGACAGGCGACATAGACACACGCGACATAGACCTGCAGTCCGGGCAGAGGTCAGAATATTATACACCCGACAGAGACAAACCCAACACAGACCTGCCGTCCGAACACGGCGGGTCCGAGTCGGAAAATACAGGGGCTCGCGGGACGGGGGAGGGAAACACCTTGTCAGGGCGGATTGAGGAGCACAGAGCCAGCAAAAGCTCAATAGTTGAACCAAGTGAAGCACTTACTAGTACATCTAAGATTAGCAGGTGCGCCTCAAGATGGAATACGAGCGAGCGTACATAAAGTTCGCTAGGAATCAAGGAAGGCTTCGTTCGTTTACAAAAGCAGACGCGGTTGTTGTACCTTATACGGATATATAGTCCCTGTGTGTCAAACCTCGCCGTACCTGATCTCAGCCTCCTCGCAGAGCAGCGAGAAGCACGACATGGCCACGAGCACAGCGTCGATGTCGATACTCCACAGGTACATGAACAGCACCACCTGGCCGGGACGGAGCGGTACGGGAGCGGTTAGTAAGCAGGCACCGCGGACGGCCGGGATGGGACTGCAGAACGCCAGCAACTGCATCGACCTATTTGCTTCCGATGATAGTAGAGAACTATAAACACTTGAGATAGTGCCGCTAATCCTCAATTTGAGTATAATATTGTGAGGGAGGGTGCGATCACACGAAAGTTCAGCTAACAGCTGTATCCCGCGTCCCACACCACCCGGCGTCCCCGATGTCCGCGCACCAGGCGGCGGTGCCGGCGGGCCGGTACCCACCTCCAGTTTAATGTGCGCGTGCTTGCAGATGGCCTGGTTGCTGCCGATATTGGCGTGGTCGCGGTGTTTGAGCAGGAATGTGTTGCGGCAGACGAGCACCTCCCTCAGCCATTTGAGGATGTCCGTGTAGTTGATGATCTGGTGCTGGATCAGCTTCTGGGTGGTGGAGAACAGCACCTGCGAACTGGACAGACAGAGAGACAGACTGAGAACATAGTACAGCAGCACCTGGTAGCGGGTGGACTGAGAACACAGAACAGCTTCCTGGGCCAGAGAACAGCAGACTGAGAACACAGAGCACCTGCACCTGGGAATTATTGAATGGAGAGCGACAAATTCGCAACAACAACGAATTAAAACAAAACCAGGGAACTAGACGGATGGCGGCGGACCTCAGGACACAGAACCACAAGATGATAGCCTGAGAGACTACGCTGCAATGATGTATGGAATGAATTTTTCCTAAACATGACGAACAAACTTGGGATAAAAGTATCGCATCTACTTCGTGATACAGGAAGCATCACCACTCACCAGGATCAGTTTCTCTATTTTCCGTTCCCTCAGCTCAGCTCTGCCCACACCCAGAAGAGACCTGCCGTTACGAGCCGCCCGGCCCGGTCCGGACCGTCCTCCGTACCTGACGTCCCAGAAGGTGTTGATGACCGACTCGGGGTTCCAGTTTTCTATTTTCTCCGGCTGATGGAGCATCAGGAGCGCCTCCATGGCCTCGGCGGCCACCTCCGGCATGGTGGCGTTGTGCACCAGCGACACCAGGCCGTTTATCAGCTCCAGCGTCGACGACTGGATCTCGATGCCCGTCTTGCCCTTGTTCTGAGACCGGAGCGGGAGGGTCAATCGACAGGGAACGTAGGGAGGCTGCCAAATTAAAGGTGATATCGAAACTCTTACAAAAGCACAACCAATCCTAACCCAAAGCCCATATCACGACCATCATCGTTGACGTACTAGTGATCTAATGAAAAAGCGGGTTTTCGCAAAAAAAAAAAAAACAGGCACGCAAACTGCTAGAAAAACAAATGGAAAGTTGGCCGAAAAAATGAGGTTATCAATTAAATCAGCTTTACGGAGAAGTACATCGGATTAGCTCTGCCAGCCCCACCAGCCACCCCGCGATTGACCCAGCCCCTGGACAGTCGGCACTCCACCGGCCCCGGTGAGTGGGCTCACATTCAGCATCAGCATGGGGTCGGCGTGGATGAGCCTGACCATCCAGAGCAGCAGACTGCGGCAGGTCAGGGTGTCCTCGGAGGCGCGCTCCTTGAACTTCATCGGGTTCACCTTCTCCTTCAGCGCCAGACTCTGAGCGGGAAAAAACATCGGCCGGTCGGATACAGTCAGATACCGGTCGGTCAGAACTCAGATACAGTCAGACACAGCCAAAGACGGTCAGATATAGTCAGACATGGTCAAATACAGTCAGACACGGGTCGACCAGACACGGTCAGACACTACTACAGTCAGACACCTCCATTCAGACACGGCTCTTGGTCGTAGGCCCTCGGAGACGGGGATTGACGGAAAGTGGACTAAAAAAGATATAACTAGCGCACTTATTCAGAAAATTGCAGCGTTAGAACATATTCGGGCTACAAACGTTCCATGATGACGATTGAGACTTAGCTAGGTGCGCTTGCACTACACCGGCTAAAGATAACTTGAGCTAGTCATTGCCCGTTCTCTGACCTGAATCATTTTCAGGGGTGTGTGCGACCCGGGCCCGGCCGACTGGGTGACCTTGTTGAGTGTCTCGAGGAACATGTGTCGCAGCTGGGCAGAGCGCGAGTACATTATGTCGATCTGCGGCCACCACGGCAGCCGAGACTGCGTGATTATCCTGCCGGAACATAGGCAGCGTCAGAAATACGGCGAACTCAGATCTATCAGAACCACTCTCACTGACGCCAGTCACTCTCGCAGCAACAAACCGTCGTGCAGCTGCAGCGCATTGTCCTGATTGTATATAAAAAGTAAACATAAAGAATAACTGGATATGAAAACAAGAGAAAACAACAAACCCTTGTGATATATTGTGCCGGTCCCGTAGCTCAGTTGGTAGAGCGTTGGACTCCGCGTGGTGAGAGCACGCGTTCCCGGTTATAACAGTCCGGGTTCGAAGCGCGACGGGCCCTTGACATTTATGGGCCTCCTGACAGGTATGGTTGCGGTTGGTGGCAGGCCGTAGCCAGACGAAGTCAGTGAGGGGACCGGCCGTGCGCGGCTATGTGCGCACGTTAAACTTTGGACTCTAAATTCTGCCATAGAACTGAAATTGCGCGATCGGAGGGTAGAGGGCAGGGTCACCGCAACAAGCTTCGCTTAGCGATGGCTCTGTCCTTGTGAATCCTTCCTATCAAAAGGTTCGGACTAAATTTATAAAAAATATAAATAAAAATGAGACACACCAACATAACACACCGCTGCCTCCACCCGCTGTATTACCCTCAACTCTGCTCTGGACAGGAGTCGCACCCGACTCACATGTGCAGGGCGGTGACCCAACTCACACGTGCAGAGGCTGGCCCGACTCACTTGTGCAGCGAGCTGACGAGGACGAAGTGGTAGACGGTGGGCGACTGCAGGCTCAGGCACACCTTCAGGATGTCGTTGTTGTGCGGCGAGATGCGGAACAGCGCCACGAAGCCGTCGATGAGCAGCTCGACGTCGGCAATCTGGTGCGACGGCCCGCGGGAGAACGGCTTGGTGGTGCTGAACAGCAGACCCTGTGGCAGACCGGGCGGCGAGCGGCGGATCAGCGGCGGTGGACGGGCGCTACACACAGACAACTACCCTCGACTACCGAGACTGAGGACCGAGTACTATGTACTGAGACTCGGGACAACTGGCTACGCAGGCATCAGAGCAAAGGAGGGCACCCTTCAGAACCGGGCCAGTCATGGGAAGAGCTGGGCATATTGACCAGACGATATACGTTTTGTAATTTAAATTACTATAAAAAATGTGTATACCCCATTTACCTTGCCATGGAACTAAACAACTCAAGGGAACAAACACTATTTGATTACTGGCTATAATGGCTTTAGTGGCAGATGTAAGGGGTGAAGCACCTCACCTTCAGATCTGAGATGATGGTGTGTATGAGCACGAAGACCACGTTGTTGGAGTCGCTGGTGCTGATGTAGGTGGCGATCTTACAGAGCTTCACACAGGCCACCGCCGCCGCCTCTGCTCGCGACACCAGCGACAGCGTTCAGTCAGTCGGGTCATCCGTGTCGGCAGAACGCCATCATAACATCGGAACATGTTATCACTGGCCGTTTGTTGGGATTCATTGTGGCATGTGCTACTCGCCACTGCTCCTGTGGCACGGCTTACCCGTTAAATGTTTGATGGTGCTGTGCGAGCCCAGGTGCTTTTTCAGAGAGTCGATAAACTGTTTTTTCTTCGAGTGCCGCTGCGAACACGGCGCCCCGCTGTCGGCGTTCACTATCTCCTCCAAAATTTTCTGCCGGCAAAAATTTAAAAAAAAAACGTGGTGACAAGGCACGCTAGTGTGTTTCCCATCGAGATTATAACTGTGCTGCTATCGAGCTCCTTTCATTAAAAATTTAGAAAAGCTATGAACCAGGTAACTTTATCCTAAGAATCACACCCATTACTTGCCGGGACGCCTCGTTCCACCCCAAACTCCCGAAGCTTCCGTCCTTGTCTGAAAACAATCCATGAGCACGCAGGGTAAAGACAAACCACCCCGAACTCCCAGCGGGCCTGTCTTGTCTGAGTATGACCACTGGCCGAATAGAGCACGGATAACTGCAACCCGAGCTGAGCTTCTGAGTTTTACTTCTGACTCGACAGAGCACGGACAAACCACCCCGAGCTCCCCGCCGAGTCGCCCTACTGACCGGGCAGAGCACGTACAACCCATCCCGAGCTCCGCTCCGCGTCCTACTACTGACCGGACAGAGCACCGACAAACCACCCATCCCAGAGCACTGACAAACAACCCACCCCGAACTCCCCGCCGAGTCTCAATAGGTACTGACCGGACAGAGCACGAGCAGCATGATCTGCAGCGGCCAGACGGCGGCGCGCCGCTTGTTGTTGTCGGCAAACTGGTCCATCTGCTCGAACAGCAGGTCGCAGAAGCGCGACAGGTCCTCGTTGGGAGACTTCTGTCGGCACAGCGGGGTGATGGTCAACACATGTCAAAAGGAATGCCGGGCACGTCTGTGTGGATGGTGGCAGGATTCATGTTCTGTCAAGGCCGGTAAAAACGACCACTTCAACTCATCCACTTACACCTCACCTTATTTTTATTAAATCACATGTACATGTTCCCATTATACCTTCAGCGCGCCCGCCCGTGCCCCCGCCCGTGGCGGCGCGTTTGTCGGCCGGTGGCACACCTGAAGCATCACAAACTCCTGCGGATAGGTGTCCATCCAGTTCCAGATGGCGCGCTCGGTGGCGCGCATGAGGTGCAGCTGCGAGTGCTTGTTGAGCGCGCGGAACTTGGACGTGACCTCGCTGAGCAGCTTCACCAGCCGCACCACGTCCAGGTTGATGTGCTGAATCAGCTCGATGTCGGAGAAGTCGGGCGCCTCATCACTGCAGTTGCTCAGCTGAGTCAGGCTGCCGAGACAGAGGGCGGTGGGGGTAAATGTACAGCTCAGCTGAGTCAGACTGCCGGGACAAAGGGCGGTGGGGGGTAAATGTACAGCTCAGCTGAGTCAGACTGCCGGGACAGAGGGCGGTGGGGGGTAAATGTACAGCTCAGCTGAGTCAGACTGCCGAGACAGAGGGAGGTGGGGGGTAAATGTACAGCTGCTCAGCTGAGTCAGACTGCCGGGACAGAGGGCGGTGGGGGGTAAATGTACAGCTCAGCTGAGTTAAACTGCCGGGACAGAGGGCGATGGGGGGTAAATGTACAGCTCAGCTGAGTCAGACTGCCGGGACAGAGGGCGGTGGGGGGTAAATGTACAGCTCAGCTGAGTCAGACTGCCGGGACAGAGGGCGGTGTTGGGTTGGTTGAATGTACACAGTCGGAAAAACTAATGGCTTCGGATCAGCATCGCACACCACCAAATGCTAGTTCATAATGTGCAACATGTGCGGCCGGCGGGCTGAAATGCCCGGGAAAAGACCCCTCGAGCAGGGTGCTCAAACGTCCAGTCTACTCTTAGTCAGGGATGCGTCAAATATCGCGTGTAAATGACGCATGACCGCAGTGAAAGCACCGCCCCGGGTTTCGAGACGATGCCAAGCGCCGTACCTGGCGGAAATCTTGTTGAACACGGCGTTGAAGTTGTTCTGGCTCAGCGCAAAAAGCACGCTCGATGCCAGAGTCCTCAGTTGAGCCACCATCGGGTTGTCGCCATTCGGCATATCTGAGAAAACAACAGTCGAGTCAATGTCGCATTCTATGCAGCTACATGAGCGTCGATGTCATTTATCGGTCGGAAATACGTGCTTACGCCCTAACTGAGTTATCCTGGGCCAAAAGCCTACAAATGCCTAGGCTTTTATAAGCCTAGGTATATGTCAAATACCAGCACGTGTCACACTAATCCTTCAGTTGGTACAGACAAACTGACAGATCTCTCGGTCGGTACGCACAGACAAACTGGCAGATCTTTCGGTCGGTACGTACAGACAAACTGGCATATATCTCTGTCGATACGTACAGACAAACTGGTAGATCTCTGAGTACTTACAGACAAACTGGCAGATCTCCCGCAGCAGCAGTTTGACGTTGAGCGCCTCGTCGAAGCGCGTCGTGTCCTTGGCCGGTCCGCTGAGACACTTTTCGAGCGTGTCGAGCACGATCAGCAGCGACTCGTAGTAGCTCTTCTCCATGTCCGGGTTGTGCGACTGCAGCGCCAGGAACTGACGGAGAGGGGCGGCACCGGCGGTCAGCGGGTCTGCCACGGCGCCAGGCAGCCGTACTCACAGCGCTCACAGCAGTCGATAAATAGCGAAACGTTTCAAAGATGGGTAAATACATAAGTAGCTAGTCAGGCAAAACTTACATTATGGTTCTCAACAAAGTGAATCAAACTATTAAAGAAAACAGCACATCGTCTGATCTGCTGTCAGTGGTAGTAAACAATTCACTATATGCTGTTATATTATCAAGAAAGCAGTGGGGAGGGTGAGCCAATGATGAAGTGGCCACACATAGCATAGGAAAGAGACGTTTTGTTGACGAGATTTACAAAGTTCTGCTTCCACCACCATTGCATTGTCAGTGTTTCAGTCACGCGGCGTCAACGAATGGTGCTCACTGGGCAATGCACATTGCACACCCACTTTATAATCAATATTTAAACAATCAGCAAACAGTAATTCACTCAGGGCACCTCGAACCAGCCTCGTTGCCCTCCCATTGTCTCTAATTACCTCATTGATCTTCTGTAGCCGCTTGGTGAGTCCCGATATGACCAGCGAGAAGCGGTAGTGAGATATCTGAATGAGACTCTGCTTGTTCTGCTCGATGTTGAGACGAGTGTGTGTTGTTTGAGGGCCAGTCCGGTATGGAAGCTGTCAAAGAAAATAAAATCGTAACTTCATTTTATGCATCTGGTAAACACCTGTTTTGTTAGATTTTTTTTTCTTTTGCTTTCAAAATTTTATCTTTTAATGTGACCATAACTTGACCTATGCTGTGATGAAACTGATGAAAATGGCCACTAAGAGTGAAAACACTCAACTTTCTTATGGGCCTGGATGGACCATAAAATATGTGTTTTTAGCCATATCTGACTTCTGATAGTTTCAACCGGCTTTGGTTGCTCCTGGTTGGCAGGAAGTTTTATATAGAGCTCCTCACTGTTTTGCATCCATTGGGAAAAACAAACGAGCATATATGGTAATGTGATTCCAAGATGCCTTCATCTGCCAGCAAGAAATTCCCTGGTACTGGGAGCATTGTGAAGTCACAACATTTTGGGCCAGGCAGAAGTTCACTCTGGCTTGACTGAAAGTTAATAAGCAAAATTGTAACTCTTTCTCTGTAATGCATTCAAGATCATCACACAAAAAAAACAGGAGAGTGCCCCTTCTTTAGCCAGAAAAGTTTAATGCTTGGCAGTTGGCACATTCTTACCTGGCTGTCAAACCTTGTGATGAGGGCATTCACCCACTCAACTGGCTTCTGTGTCGACATTTTCAAACCTTGTCTTGCTACTAAACCTCAATTTCACATTAAACCATGATCATGAGATTAGAATCTCATAAGAAAATGAAGTCATCAAACAAAAATCATTTGATGGCCCACGCACAGACATTGATTGTCAATTCTTGAAATATCTTCCTGTAAAGAAAAACAGTTAAAAGTTAAAGTTCATTATTCTAGACCATACAACATATCACCATCTCCTGGCTAAGCTCTTTTGAAGCTCTAAGCTTTTTTTTGGTGGCTAAGCTCTTTTGCATAAAGTCGCCAACCAGCGGGATTGGTGGAACTCCCTCCGCCCACAGCCAGTGGCTTCTATGGCAAATATAATACAAACACCAAAGGCCCATGTAGTGTAGGTGTACACATAGCAAATCTCACTCCTGGATTAATTTGGTGACTATATCAATTTTAGAGACATATAGGGGTCTGAATATGTCAACTTTAATTGCTCAAAAGTATTACACTAGGCATCACTTGTTCAAGTATGACAGAGCAAAACTAATGGTACCACTGAGACAAGCACACCATGAGCAATGCACATCAAACAATCATTTTGACTAGCTTAAATGGACCTACTTGCTACTTAGTTCATAAAATTAAGCTATGCTTGCTTAGTTGAGAGAAAGTTCTTTCAGCCTGAAAGGCCCTTGCAGAGCTATGGGATTATAGGACAGGGTGTAGTGGACAACCAACTATGAGCCCTACAAAGTATTATGGAATATTATTCCATCACTCATGGGCAGTAGGCAGTAGGCATTAGTGGGCGGAGCAAGGGGCTGATCTTCTACAGTACCTAAGAAATCATGGTGGAATAGTCTGCCACAGAATGGCACAAGATTTATGACACAGATTGTTTTGCTACTCAGTGTGGTGCACCAAGCAAGTGGATTGTGGCAGTTCTTACTTACCAATATGGGGATGTAATGGGAGGTGCAATAGCATGAACTGGTGAGTTACCTTCCCCCCCCCCCCCTTAAGTATATTTGTGAAACATGTTAGTGTGTTTTTAGTGGTATTCTTGTGAAATATTTTCATATGGATGATGGATATAATGTGATTGCTGCATTTTGATGCATAGTAGAACATTCTGCCAGAATGTTTAATAGAATATTCTTCCAGTTCCATCAGAGGCCTGTGATGTCACCATAGGTGATGTCACAACTGGCAGAATATTTCCTGCCAGTTTGCTGCTCAGTGCACAGATGATAGTGCACTGAGCAGCAAACTGTACTGACTTCTGATCACATGGGATTTGGGAATGTCCCTTTTAGACAGCCTGCCCTGCAGCTGCTCAAATGGTTACAACAGTGAGGGTGGGTGGCGGTGCAGTGGTATTCTCTAAGCAGACGTTGCCCTTGGTGCCATACCTATCTAGTAGGTAGGTTGTAGGTTGGTAGGTTGTAGGTTGGTAGGTTGTAGGTTGGTAGGTTGTAGGTAGGGTTAGGTCAGGTTAGATTATGTTTTATTATATATTTAACTGTGAAAAGACAATTGTGGCGTACATAAGACGTATATATGGCAGCAGCCAGCAAGGGCAACGTCTGCTAAGAGTACCTACCAGTGTAGTCATCATATACTTGTACTAGCTCGTTCATCATCGTGCTGTCCCTTGCATAACAATAAGACATTAGTTTTGACCTCTTGGGTCATTATTTCACATTTCATCCAATTTCCACCACAAAACCGCTATCATACATTAAGAAATATCAATAATTATTGACTGTTGAAGAACTCAGCGGCTAAGTGAAAAACCTGTCATTTCTTGCGGAATTCAAATGTTGACTTGAACTTGAAATTTAATTTCCGCATTATATTCAACCCGAAAAACATAAACATAAACCTAACCCACGGCCACGATAAATTCCTACCATTAACATACTTGGTACCATTTATACAAACTTCACCAATTCAAATTACCGTCATTCACCACCGCTACACTGACACAGCTTTGCTTCAAGCAAGACTTCAAGATTTGACTTCCACTTCCGGAGATGTCACAGTGATAATCTCGTTGGGGGACCCCTGCCTGCGCAAAACAGCGACGCACTCGTAAATGGGGCGGGCGACCAATCGACGAATGAATGAAGGTCCGAATGAATGAATGAATGATGAAATGGAATGAATGGCAGCAAATGAATGCACTTCCTGACTCGTACCCGCTCTGCATGCGAAATGAACCAAGCTAGAACTTGAACTGATTTTTCCCATTTCCCTTTCTTTCTAAGCAAAAATTTTATGAAAATGAAATACTTCCTTTTTCAAAGCAATGGAGTTCTAACGTGCATAAAGTTGGGTACTCTCTTAGCAGACGTCACCCCAATTGCCAGATCTAATGGCCAGTTGAAAAATCTAGAGACTTTTTGAAAAGTCTCTAAATGGGCAGGAAAATCACCCCAGGGGTCAATTAGGGGGCGGGGAACACGAATTTGACACTTATTTTGGCCTAACTCCCCTCCTTCATCCCTTAATCCTCCCTTAAAGGACGGGGCGCGTCAAAAGTGCCTCAAGGATTCGTCTGATCGCCAAAATAAGGGTCACAATCGATTCCTCGCGTCAATATGTGGCCGCAGCCTCACGTTCCAGATGTGTGCAGCGTATCCCTTATCCCTTAATTGTCCCTTAAAGGACGGGGCGCGTCAAAAGTGCCTCAAGGGCTCGTCTGATCGCCAAAATAAGGGTTGCAATCGATTCCTCGGGTCGATATCTAGCCGCAGCCTCACGTTCCTGATGTGTGCAGTGTATCCCTTATCCCTTAATCGTACCTTAAAGGACGGGGCGCGTTTAAAGTGCCTGAAGGGTTCGTCTGATCGCCAAAATATGGATAGCAATCGATTCCTCAGGTCAATATCTAGCCGTGGCCTCACGTTCGAGATGTGTGCAGAATGCAGCGTATCCCTTATTCCTTAATCGTCTCTGAAAGGACGGGGCGCGTCAAAAGTGCCTCAAGGGCTCGTCTGATCGCCAAAATAAGGGTCGCAATCGATTCCTCGGGTCGATATCTAGCCGCAGCCTCGGGATCCAGGTGTGTGGCACCGGTCCCTGGCCCCTTAATCGCCCCTTAGAGGAAGGGGCGCGTCAAAAGTGCCTCAAGGTGTCGTCTGATCGCCAAAATAAGGGTCGCAATCGATTCCTCGGGTCGATATCTAGCCGCAGTTTTGGGTTCCAGTCCAGATGTTTGGCACCGGTCCCTTACCCCTTAAATGCCCCTTATATCGCGCTCCGTAGGGAGGGGGGCGATCAGACGAACCCTTCAGGCACTTTTAACGCGCCCCGTCCTTTAAGGGACGATTAAGAAATAAGGGATACGCTGCAGTCTGCACACATCTCGAACGTGAGGCCACGGCTAGATATTGACCTGAGGAATCGATTGCTATCCTTATTTTGGCGATCAGACGAACCCTTCAGGCACTTTTAACGCGCCCCGTCCCGTCCTTTAAGGGACGATTAAGGAATAAGGGAAACGCAGCACACATCTGGAACGTGAGGCTGCGGCTAGATATCGACCCGAGGAATCGATTGCGACCCTTATTTTGGCGATCAGACGAGCCCTTGAGGCACTTATGACGCGCCCCGTCCTTTAAGGGACGATTAAGGGATAAGGGATACGCTGTACACATTAGGAACGTGAGGCTGCGGCTAGATATCGACCCGAGGAATCGATTGCGACCCTTATTTTGGCGATCAGACGAGCCCTTGAGGCATTTTTGACGCGCCCCGTCCTTTAAGGGACGATTAAGGGATAAGGGATACGCTGCACACATCTGGAACGTGAGGCTGCGGCCACATATTGACGCGAGGAATCGATTGTGACCCTTATTTTGGCGATCAGACGAATCCTTGAGGCACTTTTGACGCGCCCCGTCCTTTAAGGGAGGATTAAGGGATGAAGGAGGGGAGTTAGTCCAAAATAAATGTCATATTCGTGTTCCCCGCCCCCTAATTGACCCCTGGGGTGATTTTCCTGCCCATTTAGAGACTTTTCAAAAAGTCTCTAGATTTTTCAACTGGCCATTAGATCTGGCAATTGGGGTGACGTCTGCTAAGAGAGTACCTAAAGTTGCATTATATTCACATTCAGATTCGCGTGCACATTCGCGGACCCCTCAGATTTGGCTCAAAATTGCACAGCTTATAGATTTTGAGCTCCTGATTGCGAAAATCATGTTTTTATTTCACGCCGTCAGGTGGTTCTCAAATTATTCACATTTGTATTACTGCTAACATATTCTGGACCGTAACCCTTATTGGAAAAATCGGACCCCTCCAAATTTTTCAAAAACTCCTCAGTTGATGTAAACATAGGCGCTGATCCCAAAAAACTAATTTATATTTAACGCCGTCCCATAGTTTTCTCAGGATGAGCATCTAAAGTTCAAGGTCGTTCAAGGTCATGTACCTTTTCTAACCTTTTGGCGCTATTTGACACGTGACAGCTTTATATTTATGATGGACATTCGCACTTCCTCCTACAAAGACAATATACTGAAATCCAAGGGGCGTTGCTGTACCAAAATGTAAAAAAAAGCGTCAAAACCTTTCTCATACAGCTAACAGTTAAATACAAGGGATATTCGAATTTGCCACACATAAAGCAAATTTGTCGGACATGGTCGGACCCCTCCGATATCGTTCAAAATCTCAGGAATGATGCTCCTTGACCTCCTGAACATGAAAATGGTACTCCCTTTGAACGCCGTCAAGAACTTTTCCAGATATACGCATCCATGCACATTCAAATTACATAGGTGTTGCATATGGACGTTCGGCGGACCCCTCCGATTTCGTTCAAAATCTCAGGAATGATGCTCCTTGACCTCCTGAACATGAAAATGGCACTCCCTTTGAACGCCGTCAAGAAGTTTTCCAGAAATACGCATCCATGCACATTCAAATTGCATAGGTGTTGCATATGCACGTTCGGTGGACCCCTCCGATTCCGTTCAAAATCTCAGGAATGATGCTCCTTGACCTCCTGAACATGAAAATGGCACTCCCGTTGAACGCCGTCAAGAACTTTTCCAGATATGCGCATCCATGCACATTCAAATTGCATAGGTGTTGCATATGGAGTCATGGACGTTCGGCGGACCCCTCCGATTTCGTTCAAAATCTCAGGAATGATGCTCCTTGACCTCCT